TTAAAAACTCCAGGAGCACTGCTGTGTCTGATCCACTCAGACCAGCACAACACACACTAACACACCACCACCACATCAGTGTTACTGCAGTGCTGAGAATGATCCACCACCCAAATAGTACCTGCTCTGTGAGGGTCCATGGGGGTCCTGACCACTGAAGAACATGGTAAAAAGGGGCTAACAAAGTAGGCAGAGAAACAGATGGACTACAGTCTGTAACTGTAGAACTACAAAGTGCACCTATATAGTAAGTGGAGCTGATAAAATGCACAATGAGCGTAGAAACGAGGAAGTGGTCACAATGTTATGCCTGATCGGTGTATATTTCACACATATGTCCATATGTGACACATATAAGTTGGGTATACAGGAAGTCCATATATGCTAAAGTATGTCATTTATTTGCAATAGATAGATTACCCTACATCAGATTTCTGTATGGGCACAAAAAAAATAAATAAATAAAATAAAATAAAATTCAAATCCTTGAATGCATTTAAAAGAATAAAAAGGTTCATTTATATTACATGAACACTGATCTGATTAAACATATTTTCTTACTAATCATTAATATCTTTATTCACTACACAGCCTAGCAGAGTGGGAAGAGCTTCTTGCTAACAGCCAACGAGCTGCAGACAGCACTGCACAGCTGTAGCTTAATTACCTTTAACATGCTTCTCTAACAAGATTACAGATGTGTATGGGAATGTGATGGTGATGAGGTATACTTCATCATGAGAACAGAGGAACGTGGTAAGACAGTGTTTACGCTTGTTTCTCACTTTGAGATTTTGTCTGCATTACTTGAGTGAAATGATGTTGACCGTCAACTTCAAAGTCATGTTTCAAACAATGCAGATGCTTTTTTGTGGATTTATGTTGATTAACATTCTTTTTGCAATCGATTAAATCATATGTACAGTTGGAGATGGATCTGTGATCCCCCTGAGCTTCGGATTACAGCATGAACAGCCTGTTAGAGGATTAAAGCAAGAAACCGCTCAGCAAAACTCATTCTACTTTTTAACCTCTCTAGCTCTAAGGGCTGTGTGAGTTCACACTTCAACAGACCCCTTTCACATGAGATCAAAATCATGGCGTGAACTGCTAGTTTGAAACTGGAGAACAAAGAATAGAAACAAAAGAAAATCTGCGCTGATCAAAGTTTACAGAGAAGAGAGTCAATTTCTGTGCTTGTTTACCCGAGAAGAGGAGCTCAGTGTCTTGTTTACCTGCTGTGAGTAACACTATCGAAGGCAAGTAAAGTGCCAGAAAGTAAGTTTTATTTTAGTTTCACTTCAGTTACTGAATAATTCACTGTATAATATATGTCTTAAGTTCACCTGGACCCTCAACACCAGAAAGCCCAGCAGCTTCTCTATTTCCTGAGGAAGTTAAGGAAAGCTCATCTCCCACCCACCATCCTTACCACCTTCTACAAAGAGGGCATCCTGAGCAGCTGTGTTACCGCCTGAATTGCACCGCCACTGACCGTACGACCCTTCAGCGAATAGTGTGGACAGCTGAAAAGATCATCAGGGTCTCTCTCCCCTCTATAATGGACACTTACCCCACACTCTGCATTCAAAAAGCCACCAGCATTGCAGACGACCCCACACACCCCTCACACAAACTGTTCTCTCTTCTGCCATCTGGAAGAAGGTACCGCAGCATTTGGGCCCTCACAGCTAGACTGGGCAACAGTTTCTTTCCACAAGCCATCAGATTCCTCAGCGCCCACAGTCTGAACTGATGGACACCCACACATATATCTTAGGGTTTTAGTCACATAATTTTTCTGTTGTGGCTGCCATATCTGGGACCGAATTTCTGGCTTTGCTGTTCCGCACAAATGTAACTAGAGGTGAAATATGGATAAAATTACTCACCTTACTTTGGAAGAGAAAAATGTTCCTCGACAAAGTCGATAAAATAGTCTGTGATCCTTGTATAGTTTCCCCTGAACTCCTGGTCCCACTTAAACTGGCAGAAAGCTACCAAATATGTGTTTTCCTGACATTTATATTTATCTCATACTCAGCCCCTCTCCCTATTCTGGAGAGTCTCAAAGCATGTAAAAGTACAGAAGCCCACCGGCTCTTCACGTCAGGGTGGGTAAAGGACCCCATAGTGTTGCATAAAAAAAAAGAAAAACACTCCGTCATCATGGGAGGGTAACGATATCAGCTAATTAACACAGATGTGAACAATGCTGGCCTTTAGATAACTTTAGCTGATGTTATCAGCTGAGAGATGAACAGTCGCCCCCTAACGGAGCTGCAGACAGCCGGTATAACTTTACTCCCTGTTTCTGATTTAAATGACGTCTGAATGGAGAAACAAACGTTAAATATCAGACTGAATGTCGTGGGTCGGAAAACTACGTCGCGTTTCAACAGACGTGATTCTGTAAGTTTGCTAGTGCAGTTAGTTCAGAGTTCAGTTCCAGTCCTGAAACCCCTGCACTGCATAACTGTGGTTTCCTGGTTAAAATACCTGATATTATTAGCTGATTAATCCCTTCTTGAGCTGAACGAGGTGTGAACAGCAGAGAGGAACACTAAACTATACAGTGCAGCAGCTCCAAGCCTGGAGTGAAAACACTGAATTAAAGGTCTGTGTGTCTCTCGTCTCTCGGCTTCTGTCGCGTCTTGCAGGTGAATCATTCACAAAGCACAGCAAATTAAAGGCATAATGCAGCGCAGTGACTCCCTGATTCGCTCCTCAAAATGGCAGCGACTATACAGTGTGACATCACGCGAAACGAGAGAATACATAACAACATCTCACTCCCAAATTCTTGCAATTCCAGATTATGTCTGTGACACTATATGTAAACATGATTGTTGCGTTTCACACCAAAATACTTCACTTAATATTCTTATCTACTTACATTTTTGCACATTTTATTTCTTTAACAATATCAGCTGCTGGAATAGTCTATCAACCAAATACTATATTCGTTGCTGTTGCTACCTCAGCGACTGCTATGCCAATAAATGCTAAGATATGTCACAGCAGGGAAACAGTAAAGCAGAAATAAATACCCAGCAGACATTTCTCAGAATGATTTAAAGAACAATGTGGAAATCCATCTGATCCCAATCAGATTACCAGCCAAACACACACAGGACGGGTATGCTGAGGCCTACTGGCATACAGGGTGAACAAAACTGCCCCACATCACACAAAAATCAGCCCCAACAACAAAGAACCAAACAAACAAAGCACATTTGTGGGAGCAAGCTCTCGCCACTGACTTTACTGTTTACTGACAGCAAAACAGCAGCCCTGCTGAATAAACCCAGAGTCCTACCTTTGATGATCTTCAGCATCACAGTGGAGTCAACAGTTCTGTGTAAGGATGAAGAGTTCAGAGTTACCGCCCTGAATAATAAAATACTACTCAATCTTTTACTCATAATTGTCTCAAATAGCAGCTGCAGCTACTCAAACTTAAGTGAAGTAATACATATGTGAAGGATTTTCTTGTTTTTATGTGCAAATCCAGTGTGTGAAAAAGTCTCTGGTTTTCAGGGGGTCCTATGTTGGCTGGCTGTTAACTCAGTAGTCACTGTGGTGCTGATGTTAGCTTCAAGGGCAACAAAATGTACGATTTAACAATTCTTCATTGATGAACCAAACATTTTGATGTCTTTAAAGCGAGCATCAGCACCGCTGTGACTCTAGTTTGGTAATGCGCCCTTCCACACATTAATGGAGGTCAAATCTTCTCTTCTGTCTTCAGTTTGAGAAATGAGCAAAATCCACTCTTTCCACCAGACTTTTGGGAAATTGGGCAAGTTTTCAGATGAATGTATATTTACAGCTGCTAGGCTACGAAGGCTCAACTGGGTGAACCAGTCTGCTACAGTGCCACCCTGAGGCAGACCAGTAATACAGCTCTAGTTTAATAAGAATACCAAAGACAGATGCTTGCTGACTGTGGGTGAAGCAGCTAAACAATGAGCTTCCACTGAATTTGCTTAGGAAAATCTACTTTTCCCTAACAGACAGCATAACATGAACGTTTATTTTCAGGGACCCCCAGATTTTTTTTTTACTTCAAGACATTCAGGGATCCAACAGGTAATAGGAAGTCCTGGGCCACCCAGAACCCCTCTGTATTCCACACCTTGTGCAAATCATAATGTTCAGTTTAAGACAGCTTATGTATAATTAATAATTTTTGGTAATTTCTCTAAGGTTTTGGTAGCCAAAACCATAGAAACTTAGATTTTTCTGACTGCAAAAACTTGCATACGTTTGCAAAAGCTTGAATGTTTTCTAAATAGCACCAGTCCAGCCGCACCAAAAGAAAAATCTTTAAATTAGGGTTTTTTCAGTTCTGATCCTGCACATTTTACATAATTTTGCAGCTTAAATTAAAGAGCTTACTAATGAGCTGATACACCAATAGCAGAACTAGGGAAACTACATTAGTGCAAAGGAACATTTCAGTGAGTTGATGAAAACAGTCTGACCTTGCTGAAGCTCTCAACAGCAACGTCGCAACATCTAATGTAAAGCCTTCCCAGAACAGTAGAGGCTGCGGCAAAAGAGGAAAAACTACCTATTAATACCCTTCATGTCAGAAGAAACACCAGAGGAGCAAGTGTGTACAAAATTTGACACATACAGTACTGTGCAAACACACAAACAGGAAACAGCATATATATATATATATATATATATATATATATATATATATATATATATATATACACACACACACACGTTATGAACTCCACAGTCATATATATATATATATATATACACACACACACACACACACACACATGGAAGTTACTGAACCCACTCCACAGTCATATATATATATATATATATATATATATATATATATATATATATATATAAAACTTCCGGCAGCGCTCTTTTATTTATTTATTTATTTATTTTGCATACTTACAGCATTTCCTTCCAGCCAATGGTGTGCGACGTGGGCGTGGCTACGACGTAGTACCCCGCCCAGTGCGGAACTGGCGGTCAGGTGATGAAGTGCTGTGAGGCACAGAAATGAGCGGGGGCAGCGCGCCGTGCGTCCTCTCGGCGTTTTCGCTCTGTGTTCTGTTCTGCTCCGCTGAAAACTACTCTGTAGACGATCAGGCTGGACTAGGACGGACATTTGATGGTGTTGGGGGATTAAGCGGTGGAGGGGTGAGAGTCTGTCACAGTCTTTCCAACACTGAAAGGAAAGTCAGCTGGTTTGCAGTGCGCATGCGCATGTTAGAAACTAGTAATATTCGCTCATTTATGTATTAAGGTATGTTTTTCTCAGTTGGTTTGCACTTTTTTTGAGCGTATATATTACAGGGCCTTATAACTGCTACTGATAACTACTTTTTTCTTTCTGTTTTGCTTCGTCCTTCATGTGTTCCTTGATTTGTGTTCAGTTGGTGAAATCTTAGTATATTTTGTTTCAGCTAAAAAAAATGCATTAAACCTACATTCAATCAGGCGATAGTTTCAAATTGATTTTGTTTCATTTTCCTCTCTCTCTCTCTGTCTTTGCTTGTCTCTTTTGCATCTCTGTACTCACTGATTACTGTAAAAGCACACATTGAACAGATGTTATAAAAGGCTGCCTGTACCAAAGGCAGCTACTCATACAGTTAATGGGACAAAGTCTGATGTACCTGCTGATTTCTTAATGTTTGCTACATGATACTACACCTTCAATATGCTGGTTAACAGTGAACGTTATCATGTTGCTTGTAGTCTGTTATGAGTAACACAATATAGCTTTAATTTCACATCTAATCTCTAATATAGCCTCCTATGGAGCCTGGAGCCTAAACTGGGCATCTACTGGAGCTCGACTAAAGCCTGCAGCCTGTTGCCACATTACCAGCAGTCCAAGCAAAAACATTTAACATAGTATTTTCATTTTACAATCTTAATGTGTTAATTGTGCTCATAAACTCTCAGCTAGCTACATTTTTGCCATAGCGATGTTGTGTGTTAGCCTATAGCCTGTGTGCCGCATACCTGAACATCTCAAGTCAGTTACTCTGGTTCTCTGGGCTGCAGCGTCTCTCACAGAGACAAACGGAGCGGGCAGTTCAGTCTAAGGCCGAGCCACAGCTGTACTGAGGTCAGCGGAGAACCTCTCCCTGCTCGCTGTGTCGTTTCATCGCTTTTTGAATCACATAAAACCCTGAGACACTTCTGAGGAGCTCGGAGTCCTGACGCTGGGTACGAACGTCACAGGTGCTGATTACTGCAGTAATTGCGGACGGCAACAATTAATAAGCGGTGATTGGAGGGTTGAGCTTGGCCGATTTTGATTGGCCATAATTCAGTGACACCGCTCACAGAGAACAAATCAAGCCAGAGAACTTGTAGAGAGGAGAATTCCCACTCTGCAATGTCTTACGGTTTTCTCAGACGCTAGAGGGCGCTCCCGAGTGAGTCCAAAATGAATGGGTTGATATGGAGCATTTGAGCAAAATCATAGTTTATAAATGCTGAAACATTTGTAATGTAAAAGAATGCATTCATTTCCTGAACACAGAACAGCATAAAAGATTTTAACACCGCTGTTATATTTTTAAGAGCTTTTAAACTCGAGTTACAGGAGATTAAAACGGCGCCTCATGTACGTTCATGACGTCAGTGAGCGCAAACAACCAATGAGCTGCTCCGCTCGCCAACCAATCAGCACTCAGTAGCAGTAATGCCAGCATTCTGCTGCCCAAAACCCGTTTGCTGTAGAAAAAAAGGAAATATATAGGTCAGTTTTAGGGAAATACATCCTTCTACTTTCTACAATGAAAGGAAAGTTCTGGGAGAGTGATTAGAAACTATTTTAACTTTTAGTTTTTAGCCGTTGAGCGCCCTCTACTGGCGCCCTCTGCTGTTTAGCAGTCCTGTTTTTGATATAACGGGGGAAATAGGAAGCGGCCAGGCCCCTCATAAACCGGCTCTGGTTAAGCCTACTAGGGCGATCAGCGCGTGGGGGCAGCGCATGACCGTTTGTTCGAGCTGTCCGCCACTCACCAGCCCAGTTAGCAACCGCGTTCTGTGGTTCACATTTTGCCTGAAGCCTGTAGCAAAATTGTAGTGAAAATTATCGCTATAGCTACACAACAATCTGTAGGCGCTACAGTGATTAGCTACATTTCATAAAACTGTAGCGGCTACTGCTATTAGCTACAAAAAATTGTAGCTAACTACAAAAAGTAGCGCACTACTTAGCTTTGCCCCCATCCCTGAGTATAGGCACTGTGTGCTTCAGCACTCGGCAGCCCCACTCTGTGAGTTTGCGTGGTCTACCGCTTCGTGGCTGAGCTGTTGTTGCTCCTAGGTGCTACAATTTCACAATAATAGCACTTACAGTTGACAGGCAGATCTAGCAGTACGGAAATTTCACAAACTGACTTGTGACAGAGGACAACTGCCAGTGTTTGTCTACGAGATGCATGGCCATGTGCTTAATTTGATCCACCTGTTAGCAATGGGTGTGGCTGTTTTTATAGGACCATCCTCTTTACTGAAGAACCATTGAAGAGCCCTCTTTTTGTGTGTGCATTTACTCAGAGTAAATCTATGGATGGATTTAAACTTTATATATTTTTAAATTGTAATACTCGATGCTCAAGTATGAGTAAAGTAACCTGCTTTGTTCTTCAAAGCCCACTCCATAATTTACTTTTTAGTTGCATTTTCATCTATTTACAGTTATTACATAATTCCCTTTCTTCATTTTACTCCATTCTCTTCTTTAGTTTTATCTGACACTAAATCAATTCCAAAATAAGAAGAATGGAGCCTTCAGACTTCAGCTGATAGATGCTGGATCAGTGGCATAACTGCTGTGGGGTCGAGGCGGGGTGCAGTCACGCTGCTGATTATGTGGGAGGCCCATGGCGTTATCTTAATTGAGCCCTTCATATAATCAGTGAGTGCGTTTACATGCACTTAATAATCCAATAACTGCAGAAAATCAGACTTTTTCAGTAATCTGATGAACGTGTTTACATGCACTTGAGTAGTCAGATAATGGGGAAAGTCCAGGTCTCCACGAGTCAGACAGTAATCAGATTTCTGCTTTGCAACCGGCCAAAAAACTCACAGAAGTAGACGTGATGTAAACATAAAGTAAAACCCAAACTTCATGTTGCAGAATTTTTTAAGAAAACGTCGCACCACTTTACCTGAAAATATGAACATTCATACTTCATTTTGTCAAGCATGTATTTGGTTTCAGCGTCTCTCCAGAAGTGTTGTGCTGCGTCTCACGGCAACGCTGCTTGCTTATTTTCGGTACCACTGTCTGTTTTCGCACATATGCAGACTGAGAAATCCGAAAGGTATCAGAGTAAGAGTTTACATGCACTGAGAAATCTGATTACTGAGCTAAAATCCAGCTCTTCTTATTGCTGATTTTCTTAATCGGATTCCTGGACCTTACTCTGATCTAAGAAATCGGAGTGTGCTGTTTACAAGACCATTTGAATAATCAGATAACAGCAGAAATCTGATTGTGATCGGAGTATTGAGTGCCTGTAAATGCACTCACTGACACAATTGAGCAACCATGACAGAAATCAACACTGTGCAAACACTACACTGATGTCTGTTTACCTCCCTATGCAACGTCATATGTTCATTATTTATAACCTTTAAATAGGTAGTTTAATGTAAACATTTAGGATTTAGTGCATCATCTTGTCTGAGATATGACCTAAGAAAGAGTAAACAAGCAAATTACATCGGGGTGGGTGTGGTGGGGTATTTCTTTTTTCTTTTTTTTGTGCACTGTAGCCTATAAGATCCTAGTTGGACCACAATGCTGGATGTAATCAGAACTTTCACTGCAGTTCTGTGAGGAGCTCAGTGCACAGTGTTTTTCGGCCTGATCCTGTTTTATTGGTGGCTGTGTTTACGTCTACATTAGGCATTATTACATTGAATTAAGAAGACTTTTTCTTAAGGATACCTGCTGAACCAGACTGGCAGGTAGCTGTGATGTTACAGCACATGGGTGTTTGGTTGCTTCTGATTGGCTGAAGTCATCTACTGGCATTCCACAAGCTTCATATTATTTGATTAAAGATTAGATTTCCCCACTTAAATATTGCTAACACAACGTTGTTCATAATGTAAGCTATAATAAAAATTGCAGCTCTTGCGATATGAAAATTGTGCGAATAAGCTGATTAGATTATTTAGCAGAGTTAAAGCAGGAAAACACAAATGTATGCACTGCACAGACTTGACAAATATTGCTCTAAGCCAAATGACAATACTTATTGTTTCAAATATGCTCCCTTCCAGGCAACATCCCGTCTGCTTGTTAATTATGCAGAACCGTACAGGAGTCAGATTCTGGATTACCTTTTTAAGGTAAGTCCACAGAGAAGTGTGTGAATTAGATTGCATGAAGACGTGGTATATGTCAGTTATGTAATACGTAATATTTTTGTTGATGTTTATTTTAGCCCAACTTTGGAGCTTCTCTGCAAATTCTAAAAGTTGAAATTGGAGGAGATGCCCAGACGACAGGTACGTTTCCACTGAAGGCTGATCAAACGGTCGTATCATTACTCAGATTGTTTGAAGATGCCTCTGAAGGCGAATGCTATATGATTAGTAATCAGTCTATGAAAGATGTTAAATTACAGCTGTAATATGTTGTGCTGGTTTCCCTGCAGATGGTACAGAGCCCTCTCACATGCACTATGAGAACGATGAGAACTATTTCAGGGGATATGAGTGGTGGCTGATGAGAGAGGCCAAGAAGAGGAACCCGAACATCACGCTTATAGGTGTCCAACATTTATATTCTTAATAAAGGGAAACATACTTTTATATCTACATATGGCCTGAGATTTGAAGGGAATTCCACCATTTTTTTAAATGTTCTGCAAAATTCAATAGTTAATATGTAAACAAAGCCATTCGGAGAGGTTTGATGAGAAATGCTCTAGAGAAACTCAGATTTCTTTACAGTGGTGGTGATGGGAACCAGTGGTGGTGGTGTCTACAGCACAAATATAACCATTTTATTTACTTTCCAAAATGACCAGTCAACCTACAAGTTTCTTCTGAGTTTTTATATGTAGTGTTTAGGATAAAATAGTGGCAAATTCAAGAAAAAAAATATTTGTTTGTTTGTTTTTTTAACTTTAGAACATCTGTTGTAAAACTATCTTGAGTCTCAGTCAGCATATTCATAACCATTTCATAATAACTTTCTGTGAGAGAGCTTTTAGAGGCATTACACTCTTCAGATGTCTGGTTCCTATCACCACTACTATGAACGAATCTGAGTAAGCTTGACTAGAATGGCACATTTAACACCAAACCACTTTTAATGACTTAATTGTGTAGGAAAGTTGGCAGAATTGCCCTTTAAAGTCAACATGAAGCACATTTTCTTTCCGTATTTATAACGTATTTGTGAGTGAATTACTGTATCAGGGACCGCCTCCGAGCTAGTGTTCACTGAGCATGGTGGCTGGTGGGAGGGAGCATGAAACATGGTATAACACACTCGGTTGTATGAATCAAAGCACACGCAGGCAGAAGTGTTGAATGCATTGACTGTGTTTACATGCACTGAATAATCCGATCATAATTTCTGGATTCTAGATTTCTGCAGTTATCCGATTGTTCAAATGGTCATGTAAACAGCTGGATTTTAGTTTAGTAATCAGATTCCTCAGTGCATGTGTACTATTACTCTGATTTCTTTTGGATTTTTCAGTCTGAGCATGTGCAAAAACAGACCGCGGTACCAGAAATAAGCGAGCTGCGTTGCCGTGAGACACAGCAAAACACTTTTAAAGCAACGCTGAAACCAACTATACTTGATGAAATGAAGGATGTAAATATTCTTCATCTTCTAGATGATGTATGTTCATATTTTCAGGTAAAGTGGCGCAATGCTTTAAAAAAAATCCACAGCAGAAAGTTTGAGTTTTATATTTCGTTTACGTCACGTCTTCTACTGTGAGTTTATTGGCTGGTTACATAGCAGAAATCTGATTACTGTCTGACTCATGTTGACCTGGAGTTTCCCCTTTATCTGATTACTCAAGTGCATGTAAACAGGTTGATCGGATTACTGACAAAAACGGATTTTCTGTCAGATTATTAAGTGCATGTAATGTTGGATAGTGATCATGCAGCTTTGCCTAAATACAAATGTCTTTCTGTTGGACAAGTAATGCACCATTTGGATATAGAAAATGTTATTTCATGCACTACGTAGTGAACTACACAGGGTGCGCATGTCATATATGTCAGATATGATGAATTGTGCTTAATGTGACCAGGGGATGAACTAACAAGGTAAAAAAAGTACATTGATTCTTTTTAATAATCACACTTTGGACTCATCTTTCCTGCAGATAACAAAAGCAAACGTAAACTTTCTTTGAGGCTTAGACTTTTCAGTTGCTCTAACATTCAAACCAAAACCTGCGTGCTGTGTGAATCAGTCTGGTTCAGTGGCTGCGTGCTGTATGTTAGCTCTCTCTCACTCTCACTCTGTCTCTCTCACTCTGTCTGTCTCTGTCACTCTCTCTCTCACTCTCACTATCTCTCACCTTTGGCTCTTTTTGGCTTTGTGATCTCTCCCTCTCGTGGCTGTTTGGTCTTCCTTTTTTAACAGTGCCTGAGCTCCTTTCCGAAATAAGACCCAGGTGTTCTTTACTATGAGAAGAATCACAGACACCTGAGGCAGGAGAGAAATTGTAGCTCTGCCCTAAGCTGCCTCAAGCCTGTTGGTGCCCTCCAGGGCACTAAGTGGTGCTAGACCTCATTACTACATATGAGCTAATGTTATTTTTCCCTGTTCGCTGGTGCAATGTTGGATAGGGATCATGCAGCTACAAATGCCTTTCTGTTGGGAAATTCCTTTTCTAATGCTCCATTTGGATATAGAAAATGTTATTTCATGCACTACGTAGTGAACTACACAGGGTGTGCATGTCTTTAAAAAGATAAGATATGATGAATTGTGCTTAATGTGACCAGGGGCATGAACTAACAAGGTAAAAAAAGTACATTTTGATTTCAGGTTGACTTTAAGGATGTAATGATGCACAGTTTCACAATATGATATCGTATATTGTGCTGTGCTGTTAGTACAAAAGTAAAAAAAATGCCTTTCATTAATTTTGCTAAAACAAGACTGAGCAGGATTTTGTTAGCAGACAGACACATTTAAATATACACACAATGTGTTGTATTGTTTTTTTTTAATATAAAGATTTGGTTTGGTCAACTATTTTTAAAATGCACTCAGCTGGAGGGCATTGGTGAACTACTGTTCCCTCGAGTTAAGTTAACTCAGAAAAGCCCTTTAGTTGACCCAAATCAAAATAAAATCAAAGTACATTCTAATCATAGCGTATACTTTCTCTCAACTTACGTATCGATAATGTAAATATTAATACGTGTAGTGTAACACCCCTGCTTAAGATTATTTATTGATTTGTTTCATATTTTTGTATTGCTGTCATCTAGGTTTGCCGTGGGCGTTTCCGGGATGGATTGGACGTGGGGAAAACTGGCCCTATGATTATCCTGATGTTACTGCTTCTTATGTTGTATCCTGGATTACTGGAGCAAAGCAGTATCATAACTTAGATATTGATTATGTTGGGGTAATTATAGAATTGCTTCTTCTTTTTCTTCTTCTTCTTCTTCTTCTTATTATTATTGACTAATTAATCACAATTCTTTTCACAGATATGGAATGAAAGGAGCTTTGATAGCAAATACATAAAGGTAAACTGCATATGCAAGCATATATATCTTTACTGCATATACTGCATTCAGTTCATTTATCATATCACTGCAGTAGGTTGGATTCTCCTTGAGAGCCTTAGAGCAAGTTAGCATCTCATAAGTCTTCACACAGATATGGCCGTCTTATTTTGCTGATGTTGTGCAAAATGTTGGGAGATCATAAGGCAGAAATCAGGAATGCGGTAGGCTCGGTCTAAAGCTAGTTAGATCTGAGAATATTGAAGCAGGTGCCCGTTACATGAAATTAACACCTATGTCAGCTGGTTTGCCCTGCTCAAAAGTCATATTGTACAATGAGCAACTGTACAGTGCATGTGTTTGAATGCTGTAAATACTGATGCACATGCATTTTGCTGAGGCCAGTGAAGTACGGTGGAAACCAGTCCTGCATACAGTTGCATGCAAATGCAGATGAATATGATGATTGTGAGAGTGTTAAAAAAGAATTCAAAGAGAACTCAGTCAAAACTTGGTGAAGGATGCAAGTGCATTATCTGCTGTTGTCATCATATCTTCATCAGTATAATGTGTATATTTACTTATGTATAAACATTGAGCCAGACCTTTTTTTGACTCTGCAAGTGACGTACATAAAGATGTACATAAAACATAAAGACGGTCCAAAAAAATCAAAATCAGACCCGACGTCTCTGACTTTTAAATTATTATTGCAGACTTTAGAGTGACTCACAGCAGCACATGCACACCATATTTTAGCCTGTATTTTTTTTTCTCCTGATTCAGTAGTTACTTCTTTCAGTTTTTATAAAACAGAATATCTTACATAATGCAGCTTTAAATATGTCACAATTTCTGTTAATTTGCTGAGTTTAATATATTGGACAAAGAAAAAGATAATATAAAGTGTGCCATAACTTTTGCACAGGCACTGTTTTTTTGTTGTATATTTTTTCTAATATGTGAAAATCAGCAAATAAACAGTAATTGTTCATTAAAAAGTGCAGAAGTGTGTTCTCAGTACAGGATTTCCCAGTAGAAAAGTATATATTTACATAACCTAATGTTTTAAAACAGAACAATAAAATAAAAGCCTGGAGACGAGACGGGGTGTGTGGAGTCAGTACAGCTTAGAAAATATCATTTCAATGGATTATGGTTCAGTTATGTTCCCTGACTAAAGGTACTGAGATGTACCCTTGAGGGTCCCACCCCAGTGACAAGCAGGGAACTGCCCCAGAGACAGTTTCAAACTGAGAGTGTATGAGTATACTGTTAGGATTTACTGACACATTTACCATCATAAAATGCTTAAATGATTCTTTCATGCTAGTTCAAGTCATATAGGCCTGGTTCTTATAGACATGCATCAAGAAATGCTACAGAAGATAACAGTATTAGGTTATTACATTGTGACTAACAGGCTTTATGGTGTTATGGACTTTTTCTCTCATCTCTGCTGTGTGCTGATAGCTCCTGCGATACACTCTGGATAAGAGTGGTCTGGAGAGGGTCAAAATCATCGCCAGTGACAACCTCTGGGAACCCATAACCCTGTTTGTGCTTCAGGACCGAGAGCTCAGTGAAGCTGTGGATGTTCTGGGGTAAGATACGCTGTTCTCTCCGATTACGCCCGTTTCTATACCATACAAGAACAGAATAGAGTAACAACCATGAGCGGCTGTGTGTTAGAGGGATTTTACATTTAAAGGGGAATTCCAGTGATTTTTTCAGATTCTTCATATCCTTGAGTTGCAAAAAAGTCATTCAGAGTGTTTTAATGTGATGGTTCAGTGTAAAGAAACTGACAGACTCTGATTTCTTTACAGTTGGTGATAGGAACCAAAGGTTGGCAAACATAGCCATTTTATTTACTATCCAAAATGACCCGTGAATGTACACAGGTTTTAATGTAATGTTAATGATGATACAATATCATTAGTGATAAATCTGAAAAAAGGAGTTTTCTTTGGAAACTACCTTGCATCACAATGCCCTGCATGTACATATCTACCATGTATGTATGTATGTATATATGTATATATATATATATATATATGTATATATATATATATATATATATATGTATATATATATATATATATATAACCTTGTTAAAAAAATAATATCTCAGGCATCAAGCAGTGTATTCTTAACCATTTCAGTAACAGTAACTTTCTGTGAGAGAGCTTTTAGAGGTGGACGTCTGGTTCCTATCACCACCACTGTGAACAATTCTGACTCGGTATGTTTCTCTAGACCAGAGCATTTCACACCAAACCACTCTGAAATTTTGTGGTATTCCCTTTTGAGGGTTAATTTTAGGCATGACACAAAATGGACATAATACACACACACACACATTATCTGTCTGGCTTATCCTCCTGGCTCCCGGGGGGTGCTGGAGCCTATTTTTCCTGCCTTCCGCCTAGTGACCGCTGGGATAGGCTCCAGCACCCCCCCACGACCCAGAAGGATAAGCGGCTTAGAAAGCGTCTGTGTGTTTGGTATATGTGTGTGTATCATGTGTGTGTGTGTGTGTGTGTGTGTATATATAAATATATGATTTTAGAATTGGAACTGTCAGGAATAGAATAGCATAAAGATTGTGACTCCCAAAGTAAAAGCTTATGATGAGAATAATAACAAAGAGTATAATAAAAATTAAAAAATAATAACAGGTGGGAATAAGACTAAAAATTACATTCAAGATCCTTTTGCATATTATCATTGTCCAAAGAAAAACAAGTATCTCCAAAATAGTAAGTTTACAGGAGAGAGCAAAAACGCTCTTACCTTTAAATGTAAGTTAATATGAAGAGGTTTTATTCAAAGTGGTTTTTGAAGCATTTCTGTTTGTCCAATCATCATGAAATTTTCACCCACCATAAAGGGCAGCGGGTGTGTTGAAATGATGTAGAAAAATAACAGTCGACAAAAATAGAGATACATGGTTTTCTTTGGACAGCGTCAGTATGTACATAGGAATATACATAAAACTATTTTTTAACTGAAAGTGACAGAAATTCAGTATTGTTAATATACATCAATTACAGCAGTGCACGGTATTCAGCAGTTAGTCAGTGTGTTTGAAAGCAGTGTTTTTTGAAAGTTGCCTGAAGGTGCAGTGCTTAAAAAAAAGTTTCTCTGAACTGTCTTACAGAGCTCACTACCCAGGAACCACCACAGTATCAGAAGCGCTGAAGACAGGGAAGCAGCTGTGGTCTTCTGAAGACTACAGCACCTTCAATGATGATGTGGGAGGAGGCTGCTGGGCACGAATTCTCAACCAGAACTACGTCAATGGCCAGATGTCTGCGTAGGAGAACTTTCTCGTTTTTGTCGAGAACATCTGTTCATTTCATCCCATAATACAGGAGCATGTAATATCATACGCATTTGATTTGAGGAGTTGATTGGTACATTGATTGAATGTATTTGTATCTTTTGTAGCACTATTTCCTGGAACCTGGTCGCCAGTTACTATCAGGAACTTCCGTTTGGAAGAGATGGGTTGATGACTGCTCAGGAGCCATGGAGCGGAAATTACGTTGTGGAGTCCCCCATTTGGATAACTGGTAATACAAGTCATGTATTTGACACATTTAGGTCTGTGACTAACATTTTCCTGCAGTCAGTAACAGCAAACAGCCTTCTGAGAAGACTTTACACTAGATGTTGGAACATCGCTGTGATGATTTGATTGCATTCAGCCATAAGAGCATTAGTGAGGTGAGGTACTGATGTTGGAAGATCAGTTCTGGATCTCGCCAGCTCATCCCAAAGGTTTTAGAGAATGCAGCTCCACTGCTCCTCAGCCCAGTGCTCGGAACTTTATACCCCTCTAGTTGATGCTTTGTGTTGGGCATGATGACCTTAGACTCATCTCTTCCAGAGTGTCCTATTCTATTAGTCAGTGCTTTTCTATGGAGATTATACATGTTGTATGTGCAATTGAAGTGTCAGCAAAGAATGACCTTAAAGAAGCTAACTTGGCTAAAGAAAGGGTGTTTGGACACTTTTAGACATAGCCTAGCATATTATCTGAGTAATCAATTAATTAGGCCTTTATTTTCTTTTATCTTTTATGATTTCCTCTGCCTTTGCCTGCCTCACAAAGTGCAACAAGCAGTTTTTTTTAGTTAATAGAAGCCACATTGCCCCCTACACTTCCTGTGGTGTATTGCAGTCTGTCAGAATGACCATGGCTGTGTTTGAAGTAGCCTACTACATCTTGCTTGTGTACTGACTCTGGACAAAAGTAGCAAGTACTATGCAGTATTTGACCAACGTGAATTTTTCCAGTACGCCAAAGATGCACGGATGAGGTACTGCTCCGGCAATTTTCCAGTACCCTGCCAGAGCTATCTGTGACATACTGCATCCCAAAATGCAACTTGGATGTTCCAGGAGGACATAACCACTGACATAAGTAACCGCCTGGATATTTTTAAAAGCTCTAGATTCGGCCTTTCTTTTATGCAAACTGAAAGAAATTTGACCGAATGCTGCTGCATTCACTGCCGCACTGAAGCCACACCAGCTCTCTCTGCTGGTCTTGAGGTGGGTTTGCTTACTTTGTCTATTTAAAAGTTAACTTTCTTTGTAACGTGGATAAAACAGTAACTCAGCCTGACGATTTGGTCAACATCGGCTTTTCAGGCTCCCATGTGGAGCCACACAGCTTATTATTCAGTCAGACTAGCTCATATTACCAGCTACGAGTGTAATGAAAATGAAATGACTCACAAATGGAGAAAATTTGAAAATCACACAAGTTTACCACACAGATGAACCCAAAGCTGACACTTTTTAAGTTTATTTGTAGCTTTGAAGACGGTCAGAAAACAATGTCCTGCCCTCTGTCGTTGTATGGGGTATCTTTTAAAAGTCACGCAGGCACATCTCTGAATCCAAAATATACACATACATGCTGAAAAGTGGATAGCAGCGGTTGCGAAGCAGTGATTTGAGGGCTGAGGAAAATTGGCTGGGTCTTGAATTGGTCTGATTGACCAGTCGCATACTGGATACTATACAGTATCCTACTGATGAAGAGCTGTATGTAGTATTCAGTATATACTGATGCAGTATGCAGTATACAGTACACTGTATACTATTTCAAACACAGCCCCTGAGTATCATATGAACATTATGAAGTGATAAAGTGCTTTTGGTTTTAAGTATTTTATACTTTTTCCCTAAGCAACATTGCCAATGACTTAGCAACAGTGTCAGCTAATCCTCACAGCCTTAGACATATGGTTAATCAATGCAAAACACAAATAATATGATATTATTCTGTATTGTTTGTTGCAGCTAAGTTTTCTAACCTAAATACATAACATTTCTCCATTAAAATAAATATGATTGGTGAAAGTGACAGTTTTTTGACTTTCAGTGACTCTGGGTGAATGCCAGGGGAACATTACCTGCCTGACTGCACTGTGCCATGTGTAAAGTTTGGTGGAGGAGGGATGATGCTATGGGGCTGTTTTTCAGGGTCGGCCTAGAACCCTTAGTTCAAGCGAAAGGAAATCTTAATGCTTCAGCACCAAGACATTTTTGTATTCTTCCAACTTTGTGTGAACAGTTTGGGGAAGAACCATTTCTGTTCCAGCATGACTGAGCCCCAGAGCACAAAGCAAGGTCCATAAAGGCCTGGCTGGGTGAGTTTGTTGTGGAAGAACTTGACTGGCCCACACAGAGCCTTGACCTCAACCCCATCACCTTTGGGATGTACTAGACCGCAGATTGCGAGCCAGGCCCTCTAGTCCAACACCAGTGTCTGACCTCACAAATTCTCTTCTGGATTAATGGGCAGAAATTCCCACAGACACTCTCCAAAATCTTGCGGAAAGCTTCCCAGAAGAGTTGAAGCTGTCGCTCTATTACAGCCACCAAGAGGGTGAATAATATAATACAGATGGGAATTCTGACTTATACACAAAGCTCGATAATCAATAACACTTCAAATTTAAAGCACATATTACATGTTTAACTACATAAAATAGGAATTTAATGTTTTACCCAGCGTTAGTTTGTGCCCTGCTCTCCCCTGTCTTGCTCTGATGAGTAAAATCTTATCTTCTAGCCCATACCACACAGTTCACTCAGCCTGGCTGGAAATACCTGCAGACTGTCGGCCACCTAACACACGGAGGGAGTTATGTTGCTTTGACTGACCAAAAGGGAAATCTGACCATAGTCATTGAAACCATGGTAAGCTTTGATTATCCAGTTTCACCACTGATGATTTTGCATAATGTAGCACTTTCTTTTGTGACTTGCTGCATCCACACTTGTTCTTTTACAGACTCATGATCACTCTGTATGCATACGGCCTCCTTTGCTTCCCTATAACGTCACAGCCCAGAAAGCTACATTCTGTTTGAAGGGATCTTTCGTAAGTACTGCTGAGGTTAAGACTGCTCTGTAAGTTAATGATTACAGACCCACAGTCTTTACAGAGCATTATCCTCATTACAGGCCTCAATCGGTGAGCTGCAAGTATGGCATTCAAAGTTTGATTTCAAAATGAAAAAGCCAGTCTACTTCCAAAAACTCACTCCCATAAAGGTAAGTTACCCCAGTAATTCTTAACATACACATGTTAATACACAGTGAAACCCCAGGCCAGCTACAAGCTTGAATGAGTATAGTTGATGTTTTGGGGAAAATACTTACAATTCTGTAGGTTTATTGTAGTTATTGTAGATGTTATCATGATAAACTACATTACACTAAGTTTTTTGGGCATATTGTGGGTATCTCAGAACATTAATACCATTTTAAAAATGTGGCTGTACTAGTTTACTGTGCTTTTTGTCTGTTCCATCTAAGGCTGTACAACATAGACATAAAATGCTATGCTTAATGAAGCTGTTGGATATCTTATGGCAATATGAGAAGTAATACATTATGATGAAAGCAGTGTGCAACACATGCAACCCCAGAGTTTTTATTTATTTATTTATGTATGTAGATAATTCTAGATAATTAGACATCTGACAAACATATTGGCAAATGTCAGTAAGTACAACATTACGAAGGTCCCTTTCATTATTGTGCAAAGTGCACAAGTTAAAAATAAAATACTACCTGCTACTTACATCACAACTGTTAGCAGTTTTTGGCACTTTAAGGCTGTTATGAAAAGTCAGCATTCACTTTCCATATACACAGTTCGTAAAATTTGACAAACTACAAGCCCAATTCCAAAAAAAAGTTGGGCCAATACACAAAAGGCAAATAAAGCAGGAAGTAGGGATTCATAAATCTACTTTGTACTGTTTTTTGTTCAAATACAATTTAAAGACAGGATGTGAAATGTTGTATCTTATTAACTTCATTGTTTTTTGTAAACACATGCTCATTCTGAAATTGATGCCTGCAGCATGTTCCAGAAAAGTTGAGACAGGAGCAGTTTAAAGCTATGAACATTGTAAAAAGGTAAATCTTAAACAGGTGATGCAATCGCGCTCACATATAAAAGAAGCATCCAGAGAATGGGAAGGGAGGCTCGCCACTTTGCCAAAAATTTATCAGCAAAAAATCCAGTATTTTAGAGACAACGTTCATTGTTTTCTCTGGGCCAAAGAAGAAAAGTGTAAAGTTCAAAAGTCAGCATCTGTGTGGAGGGTATTAGTGGGTAACTTGCACATCTATGAAAGCACCATTAACACTGAACACAGTTTGGAGCAACATATGCTGCCTTTAGATGGCGTCTTTTGCAGAGAGGTCCATTATTTCATCATGACAACACCAAGCCTTATTCTGCACTTGTTACAGCAGCATGGCTGTGCAATCAGAGAGTGCAGGTGATAAACTGACCTGCCTGCAGTCCAGAACTTTCTCCAATTAAAAGCATCTGGTGCATTATAAAGCTCAAAATACAGCAATAACAGCTCTATATGGTTGCAAAGCTGACTTGCATAACGACAAATTCTGCTTTCAAAACTGGGTCAGTTTGTGTCTTCAGTCCCCAGATGATTATTAAGTGTTGTTAAAAGGAAAGGTGTAAACATGCTTCTGTTCCAGTTTTTTCAGCACATGTTGCAGGCATCATATGTGGAAGGAGTGTATATTTAGGAAAACGAGTGAAGTTCATAAGGTAAAACATCAAAGTTTGTGGTTTTGTTCCATTTTCAGTGTAATACAGAATTTTCTAATCACTGCTTTCTGTTTTTATTAGCACTTCATGTACTGTCCGAACTTTTTTAGAATTGGGTTTGTATGTTATTTTCTATAAAAGCCTACAAAAACTGATAAATATATATTTAATTATTTTACAAAAGCTCCTTATAGTGATGCAGATTTGTTGTAACAGTAGTTATTGCTGCTTCACACAAAACTGAGAGTGAGAGTAGTCATCTCATTGGAGGGACTTTAGGTTGGTTAGGTAAGGATGGATGAAGGATGCAGCTTTTGAGATGTGTGTAAATGAGGTTTGTAACTGGCTTTATAGCAGAGTGGTTAAATCATTTGCTCTACAGGTTGCTGGGGTTCAAAACCTCTTAGGAAAGCCACAGTTGCTATAATAGTCGACAAAACCCCAGTGCTACCTAATTACGTCACTCTGGTGCTGCACAAATGTAATGTTATAAGCTCTGTGTCTTCACAGTTCTTGACGATAAGAAAACTCATATCGCGAAAACAGCAGCAATAGAATTAATCATACGGCCCCAGTTCTTATCATACTTCATATAAATGAAATATCACAATGTATATTGTTTATCATATTGTTTACCAACTATCTTCAAGTATATGTTTGTCATTTTGCCCACCCTCAATGTCAGCTAATGTTTTAAGCATTGAACATAACAGGCATTATACTGTGGTATATCTGTATGGAATCTGAAAATATGTAGGTGACTAATGGCTCATTCACCCTGGACCTTGATGTTGACGAAGTTTATACAGTGACCACCATAACTACAGGGCTAAAGGGGAGTTATCCGGAGCCTCCTCCGTCCTCTCCCTTCCCTAAAATTTATAAAGACGATTTCAACGTCCGTAAGTATTGACATCTTTTCATTTTGGCTTGTTTATATTTTGTATGTGAACACCTGTTTTTACACAATAACTGAATCCCCCACATGGTTTGGACTAATTGTGAACAGATTGTGATGTAATAACACCAATAAATAACCTTTTTTTTCTGTTTCCTAAAGAGCACCCAAACTTCTCCGAGGCTCCAGACTTCGCTGATCAGACTGGTGTGTTTGAATACTTCATCAACCAGACAGACCCTGGCCCTCATGTTTACACACTGCGGCAGGTGGTCACTCAGCGGCCAATCACTTGGGTGGCGGATGCTGATCAAACCATCAGCGTCATCGGGGATTATAAGTGGTGTGTACTGAGAGCTCTGAGGAGTTCTGATTGCACTGAAGAGTCTGCTTTACTGAGCTGCCTTGTTTGGTCTGCTGTGGGTGGATAAGCCTTACTTTTACTCTGATAATAAGGCAGTTCTGAATTTTGGTGTCCTTTGAGATGTTCTACAGATTTCTAGGCCCTGTACTAAAGCTACCTTTGTGGTCCCCTCTTCCATCGCTTGAACATTTTCTGAAATTTTCCGAAATAATTGCATTAGGAGTATAAAAGAATGTGTATTACTACACCTCATAATACATTTATACATAATAGATTTTTCTACACAATTTCTACATAAATAAATAATTTAAGATGTTAAAAGAGTCAGTCAGAGTGGTTTGATGTGAAATCTTCCATTCTAGAGAGATTTACCGAGTCAGAATTTTTCACAATGATGGTGATAGGAACCAGACTGAGTTTAATGCCTGTAAAAGCCCCCTCACAGAAAGTTATTACATGGAAAGGTTGTTTGAAATGGCTGCCTGTAGTGATTTTGATTATTTATATAGCTCTAAACTACATCTACAGTCGTGTGTGAGCTTAATGAAGACCCTAATGCGGTATCAGCAGGTTGAAAAAAGTTTTGATTATGTATTTTTGCAGAAACAATTTGGGCCTATTTGGATGACTATTAAATTGTGTTGTTTGTTAGCCTCATAACTCCAGTTCTCAACTACTGACTGCATCTGGTACAAGTGGAAAATTGTGTAAATTTGATTTTTTTTGCCCAACTATTCCTTTAAAGAAGCCTGTGATGTTCCGATGTTCTTTATTTTTTCCAGGCAGAATGTGACGGTCTCGTGTGACGTGTACATGGAGGAGGAACACAGCGGAGGTGTGTTTGTGGCAGCGAGAGTGGATAAAGGAGGAGGCTCTGTCAGGAGTGCCAGAGGAATCTTCTTCTGGGTGTTCGCAGATGGCACATATAAAGTCACCAATGATCTCAGTAAGCATGAGAACAGGAGTTTCTTTACTTTCTTTAATGAATACAGCTTAGATATGTTCATGTTGATTTGTTGGCGCCTAAGGCATCAGAAATGCTGCACCATTTAAGTTGGTATGGGATATATACCTGGCTAGCTAACTGCTAGTGATTTATTTATTTATTTATTTTTTTTTTATGAAAATTCGAAGAAGAAGCTGGTGAATAGCTGACTTCAGCTTTGAATCACAGACGAATTAGTGTTGGGTAATGATAAATAATTGCCTCCCCTTCTCTGAAGTCATATTAACCCTCCTCTGCTACCACTGCAGAGTGGCAGGGTCGCCTACAGAGCAGCGCCAGTAGCTGTTAATGAAGTAATGTTCTTTTGTATTTGAGGGTCCCATTTCGTAGGGAAGATTTCAACCACTACCCCTTGTAACTCAGTTCCAAGGGGTAAGGTGACATTCGAAAACAAGGGGTAGGGGTAGAAATGAGAAATGCGATTGGACCTTAGAGTGGAGAGTCTATCACTTCATGTTCTGTGCAATAAAGTAAACACATATAATCATCTTAGAAATAACTTTTGCTTTACAGTGGAATACACTGAGTACTTCAACCTGAACAGTTGGATTAATCATTACTTTTGATCTAATCTCAAAGGTGGGCAAAGTGTTCTGGCTGAGGGACAGTCAGGAACCAGAGCGAATGTCTGGCACACGTTGACACTGTCTGTAAAGGTTTGTGTAATATTTGTACACTATCAGTATTTGTACAGTATGTCCAAAAATGCCTGGACAGCCTTTCTAATGATTAATTCAGCTGCTTTGAGCTGCATGTGTGTCCGATTGCGCACACAGCTTGTATATTCACAAGAGAAAAGCATTGACCAATGGGATGTCCAATGCCAAGGCTGGTATAAATCCTCCCAGCACTGGGCTGTGGAGCAGTTATTTTTCAATAAAGTCATAGGCCAAAATAAAATGCTTATTTTCAAATGTAAAAATCCAAAAGTTTGGTGTATTTTATTGTTCTAACTGTCTATGTATTCCATAACCGTGTAAATACAGTTCTACAGAGAACACACACACACACACACACACACACACACACAATTACTGTTTATTTGCTGAGGGAAAAAAAAGGAACAATTTGGCTTGTGCAAAAATTATTTTGTTTTATTTTTTTCCAATATTTTAAATATCAAATAAATAAATTGTGCACTGAAATTTGTAGAAACAAAATCCCTATTTAATTTTGCTTCATGTAGAAGATTTGTTAACTTATTTTCAGTTAGGAAATCAACAAAAACATATTTGACCGGCTGTGTTCGCACTTTTGCATATGACTGTGGTTCCTCGTCAGATTTGTTTATTCAGTAAAAATGAATTGTGCTGAAATAATTAAATCATATTGAATCAGGGTAGAATTTTAGATTCTGTAGTGTTTTGAATTGTTTCCTAAAGATTTGTATTTTTACACCCCCAGTAATAAAGCTTAGTTTGAAAATTAGAATAGATTGATAATGTTTTGTTCTCTCTTTGCAGGGTAATAATGCCTTTGGAGAACTCAACGGCCATGTGCTGTGGAAGAACGCGGTAGGCTTGGTGCCTGAACACGGATGGGCGGCTATAGGCACGAGCTCATTCCAGCTGGCTCAGTTTGACAACTTTGCTGTACAGGCGGAGTAACAGCTCCTTTCTCTAACCCTGTAATGAGTCTCTCAGGTTTCTTATAAGCTTTCCTAGATGAAACGTTTATTTATTTTTATTTTTTTTAATGATTCCAGCTGACCATTTGCAGAATTCTGGCAAAACCCACCTTGCTTGGTTACTGTTGCTATGCTTGCCCTAACACTGGAGCTAACTGGAGCTTAATGTTGTTCCATAACAGGGGTGCACAACTCCGGTCCTGGAGGGCCGGTGTCCAGCACAGTTTTGAGGTTTCCCTACTCAAACACACCAATTAAACCTACCAATTAACAGATGAGTGTAATCAGGTGTGGTTGAGCAGGTAAATCACCAAACTGTGCCGGACACCGGCCCTCCAGGACCGGAGTTGTGCACCCCTGTTCTATAAAGCTATTTATACTTAGTTCCAATGGTACAATCTGATTGGTTGAGAACTGTTCTACCCATTTTCAACTGTATTATTCTGCTGAGTAACGATTGCTAAGTAAACTACTCTTTACGCTGCAGCTGTTTGTAGTGCAGACAAAAACAGAAACTAAATAAATACATTAGATAACTTCTATATGATGATATAAGAGAGTGATCGCAGGACTACATTATATTTCATACCTGTCGTTGATCCTAAGTGAGCTTTTATCAGTCGGCAACTAAACAAACTGGAATTAGCCAGAAAAGAACAGAATAAAGTTCAGCAAACAGGATGTGAAATGCTTTCCAGACCACATTCAGGTTCATCTGGCGAAAACTGTAAAAGCTGAGCTGGACCTGATTGTGACAGTGTCCAAAAGGCAAAAAGCTACTACTTTAGTTGGTGAAAGGAATTGCCAATATTTTGTTGCTGTCCAAAAAAAAAAAATAATAATAATATTTTGGAGCATTTCTATTGGTCCATTCATCATTAAATTTGCTCACAAAGTAAAGGGCAGCTGCTGTGTTCAAACAATGTAGATGGAGATTTTTTCATATTTTTTCATCATATTTTTCTTTGAACAGTGACGATTTGATTCAGTGTTTGGGGATTTTTCAGTGTTTGTGTCAGTTTTTTCTTTATTTTGCGGATTTGCTGTAAAAATGCAGTAGAACACTGGAGAACCTATGTTATAATGAATCCTTCTCATGTTCTATTACTTGATTAGCATTACACAAGCCATTAAAATACACAGATCTAGATAAAATGTAGATTACTCTGATAGAGCTCCTTATAAAAAAAACCTGCCGTGAGAACGGCAGTGGCAATAAAGAGTTGTGTAAAGGGTTCCCTCAGAGCCTGTTAATAGTTTTGACACTGAGCTGGTCTTCCAGAGTTTAGTACAAAACATTCTCAGCTTCAGGGAGTAAATAAAAGCAGCTCCACCCTCCAGATGTTTGAGGCAGATTAAAATGCATCATCCTACGTTCCTCAGAAACACCTGTCCACAACCCTTAGTCTAACAGTGAGTGCGTTTACATGCACTTAATAGTCTGATGATTGCAGAAAATCAGATTTTGTCAGTAATCTGACCAACACATTTACATGCACTTAAGTAATCACATGATGGGGACACTCCGGGTCTACATGAGTCAGACAGTAATCGGATTTCTGCTTTACAACCAGCCAATAAACTCACAGAAGAAGACGTGACATAAACGTGACGTATAACTCAAACTTCATGATGATGTTGTTTTTTTTTTGTTTTTTTTTTTTAAATCATCGCTACATTTTAGCTGAAAATATGAACATACATCATCTAGAAGATGAAGAATATTTAAATCCTTTATTTCATGTTTGGTTTCAGCGCCACTCCAAAGGTGTTTTGCTTAGGTGTTCACGCTTTTTTAACAGTACCACAGTCTGTTTCGCACATGCTCAGACTGAGAAATCCGAAAGAAATCAGAGTAAGAGTTCACATGCACTGAGAAATCTGATTACTGAGCTAAAATCCAGCTCTCTTTATCAGATTTCTTAATCAGATTTCTAGTCCTTACTCCGATCTAAGAAATCTGAACGTGCTGTTTACATGACCATTTGAATAATCAGATAACTGCAGAAATCTGATTATGACCAGATTATTGAGTACATGTAAACGCACTCAGTGCTGGCTAATTTACTGCCACTGTCGTTCTCACTGCAGGCTTTTTATAAGGAGTTCTATTCGCCTTCTTACTTCACTTGAAGGAATAAATAGTGCTTTGAGACAATTGTGATTGGCTGAGAGGCGTGTTAGTCATTATTTTGCGATTGGTCAGTGTGATGTGAAATGGTTAAATGCACTGGAATGTTTATATGGGTGAGTTTATATGGGATTTTGAGTGTGTTGAAATATAAAGTATGAAGTATCAGGAATTTCTTCTTATCATTATTATCATTTATGCAGTCACAGCTGCCTGAAGTGGTAAACCAACTAAAGAACTGAATCAGATGTGTTAAACCAGAAAAAACTAACCTGGAGTTTCAGAATCGGAATATTTACATGAGTGCAGTCTTTAAAAAGATGGTTCTTCAGGAACATCGAAGCTCTGTCTACATGCTATAATGGTTCTGTGCATGGTGAAATATTCTTCAGATTGATGGAGAATGTGTTGTTTATGGTGTCATATAGATCCTTTTTGACAATGGTTCTATATAGCACCAAAAAGGGTTCTTCGATTGTGACGATGTCGAGCTTGTGACAATAACAGGACCCTTTACATTGCTTTTAACACAATGCAGTATAATCTACAAAATCCAAAGATATCAGTGTATTATCTGCAACATTCATATTAAATCACCATTTGAGCTGTTGATTGATTTTTTTGCACTTATAACGTGCCTATAGAGAATAACTACAACAGCTATAATAATAATAATGATAATAATAATAAAAAAATAATAATAATAATAATAATTTATTGTTGATAAAATCTTGTTCACTGCTACTGTGATGTTTTTAACAAACTGCTTTCAAATAAATAAAATTGTTTTGTATGTAAACAAACCCTCTTGTATCCCTCTAGTTCCTTTGTTGTTGTTGTTGTTGTTGTTGTTGTTGTTTCTTTTTCTGCCACTGGCTTCATTTTTATACAGCCAGCTGACGGAGGTGCTGAGACACCCTATCAACATGTTATCAGGACTCCAGCATGGCTGGAAACATAAATGTGCACTCTTTCTTTCTCAGACAATTATCGAGAAACGTTCTCCCACCTGAACACTCCCAATAACCCACTGTGGAAGCTGGAGCAGCTTTGGTCAGTGAAGCATTGCTGCCACCTTCTGGTAAAACTCAGTCACTGCATAAAGGAATTTGTATGTTAGATCTGTTTATTAGCTCTGTTTATTTGTCTGTGGTTTAATTTTAATAACAAAGTAGTTGTTTCTCTTGAATGTATGTTATGATAGGCTTTTTTATCCTCAAACCACGTGGTAAAGTCTGTCAAAAATTTTATTAGTTCCAAAAGCTCCAAAAAAAAAAAACTAAACAAAAGATATTTGGTGTCTTCACTTCTCATCTTCACCTGCCTTTGCTTTCAGATTCTTTTAGTGGATGTTTTGCTCTTTTGCTCCTGGGGTCCTTCAGATTTTGTATTAAATTTTTAAGCAATTAATTATAAATGAAATTCGTAATTTGTTAAGTATCTTAGGTATAGCTACAGAGAAAGCTGGAGAGCTAACTGAAATGTTCAAGATGTCATAATCTATATATATATATATATATATATATATATATATACACCAATCAGGCATAACATTATGACCACCCCATTTTATCAGCTCCACTTACTATATAGGTGCACTTTGTAGTTCTACAGTTACAGACTGTAGTCCATCTGTTTCTCTGCATACTTTGTTAGCCCCCTTTTACCCTGTTCAGTTAGTAATCACTTCTAGAGTGCAGGTTCCCCTTAAACTTTTGAATCATTATTCCAGATAGAAAAGTATAACAAATCGGACACTTGTACACAAAAACATTTACAAGACAAGCAGAGGGCGCTTCGCAGAGATGAGCACAAATTCATCCAATAAGCATCAAGTCCTCATAGCTTTATTATTCACAGGCAGTATAATTAGCCTGTTAAACTGGGATTAACGTCACACCACTATACCTCAAATTAACACTATATCAATTATATATCTTATTTTGAGGCATAATATTTCTACAAAAAAGTAGAAACATTCAAAAACAAATTCATTTGAACTTTGCATTCAGGAACTCAACCATTTCAGAAAAGAGACTCAAAGGGATAGATAGATAGATAGATAGATAGATAGATAGATAGATAGATAGATAGATAGATAGATAGATAGATAGATAGATAGATAGATAGATAGATAGAGATAGATAGATGGATACAGAGATAGAAAGATAGATATGATCTGTAATTAATCTGAATCTCTCCAAAGTAACTTTAGCCGTAATTCTATGTATCATCGTAAATAAATGCTTATTTAGTTTTATTTTGTACGCAATACTGATTGATAGTAAACGCCAATATTCCCATATCAGTTCAGGAAACACTGAGGTCCACATAGATTTTGAAGGAAACTATGATCCCTCAGTTTTATCGCTACACTTATCATTAATTATAGCTGTCAGTGTTTTACAGAAACGGGATTAAACGGCGAATCAGAGCAGAAATCAGCGCCTCCTCTGTGCTCCGCGGTGACGTCAGAGCGCAGGTTCCAGCCGCTGAGATGTGTAAAGACTCTCTCAGCCTCTCAGTGCAGAGCGCAGCTGTTTCTGTTCCTCGTCAGACTCGCTCCGATCTCCTTCCTTCTCTTTATTTATTTATTTATTTATTTATTTATTTATTTATTTAAATAATGCGGACCCGCACATTGTGGTCGTCGGAGACACGCGCCCCGCGTCCATAGGCCCTACGTCACCACGGAGCTCGTTACTAAGCAACCCAGTATCAACAGACATGGCGGGCGGAGAGGAGCGAGTCCGGCTCTCTAAACGGGTTTTCATCAACAATATTCACACCTACACATCAAAACACATCGCACAGGTGAGCCGCTCCTCACAGTTTACACTGTACCTCACACCCTCTTCATCCTCAGAGACGTTTACAGATTATTAAGGTCGATCTCATTAGACACAGAGACGAATACTGACCGCTGACCTCTGAATACTGAATACTGACTTCTCTAACGTTAACTTTAATTCTTCTAGCGTTAGTTAACTTCACTAACTTATCTAGTTAACTTCACTAACTCATCTAGTTAACTTCACTAACACATCTGGTTACACTAACATCTAGTTAACTTCACTAACACATCTGGTTAACTTCACTAACACATCTAGTTAACTTCACTAACTCATCTAGTTAACTTCACTAACTCATCTGGTTAACTTCACTAACACATCTAGTTAACTTCACTAACTCATCTAGTTAACTTCACTAACACATCTGGTTAACTTCACTAACTCATCTAGTTAACTTCACTAACACATCTGGTTAACTTCACTAACTCATCTGGTTAACTTCACTAACTCATCTAGTTAACTTCACTAACTCATCTGGTTAACTTCACTAACTCATCTAGTTAACTTCACTAACTCATCTGGTTAACTTCACTAACACAGCTGGTTAACTTCACTAACACATCTGGTTAACTTCACTAACTAATCTAGTTAATTTCACTAACACATCTGGTTAACTTCACTAACACATCTGGTTAACTTCACTAACTCATCTGGTTAACTTCACTAACTCATCTAGCTAGTTAACGTCTCTAACTCCTCTAGTTAACTTCACTAACTCGTCTAGTTAACTTCACTATCTCCTCTAGTTAACTTCACTAACTCCTCTAGTTAACTTCACTATCTCCTCTAGTTAACTTCACTAACTCCTCTAGTTAACTTCACTAACTCATCTGCTTAACTTCTGTTCTGTTCTTCACAATAAATCCTTTCTTCGCAAATTTACTTGAAGGAAGTAAAAGTAAATGTGCTGGTTACTATCCACCTCATGAGCTTTCTTTTTCTATTTTCTTTCTTTTTTTTTTTACAGTATTTAGATTCATGTGTTGTTGGAGCGTCCCTTATCGACAAGGCAGATCCAGACTCAGAGGAAGAGGAAACAGTACAAGATGAGCCAGCAAACAAATCCAAACAAGGAACTTTCCAGGTTGTTGGAACTACTTCAGCCAAATCAGAGGAGCAGAAACCCAGTTTTATTGCAGCAGAATATACAGTGAGTAAAGAATGCAGGCCTGAAGGTTATGCAGCTCCACTCACAAACAAATGAGTATAGACACGCGTCTGTGTGTCCATTTCAGGACAACATGTTCTGTGTTAATTGTTTTTAATGTTGTCTTAGCCAAGTGTTCCAGACTTAAAAGTGAGTGCATTTTGTTATTTTAGGTTATTTTCTTTGTATTTTAACTTAATTTTAATTTTTTAAATCTGTTTTTTGCAGAACTTAACACATGAAGAGCTTTTCCATCACCTGATGGAGTCTGATGTCATCATTTATAACATAACCGAGCATGCTGATCAGATAGAGGAAGCTTCTTGGGCAGTCTCAGGTATCTCTGACTATGTGTTTATTGCTCTGTTGGTTGTTTCAGTGGTTTTGTGGCTTAAAGGGGAATTCCACCAAAATATCTGATGTCCAAAAATGTCCAAAATGTAAACAAATTCAAAGTATTTCGAAATGAAATAGTTCAGTAAGTAGTGAACTTACACATCTTCTTTATCTCATTTTATATGTATTGGTGATAATGGTCAAATGATAAAAAAAATAATAATAATCTGAAAAAAATAAAAATAAGGCTTCTTTCATACTACTTTGCCATACATCACTCTGCATGTTTTGCCAAAACTTTATCTCAAAACTATGAAAACAGTGAGTGCGTTTACATGCACACAATAATCCGATCATAATCAGATTTCTGTAGTTATCTGATTATTCAAATGGTCATGTAAACAGCACACTCAGATTTCAGATGAGAGTAAGGTCTAGAAATCCAATTAAGAAATCTGATGAAGAGACCTGGATTTTAGCTCAGTAATCAGATTTCTCAGTGCATGTAAACTCTTACTCTGATTTCTTTCGGATTTCTCAGTCTGCACATGTGCAAAACAGTCAGCAATACCGGAAATAAGCAAGCAGCGTCGCCGCAAGACGCAGCAAAACGTTTGACAAATTCAAGGATTTAAATATTCTTCATCTTGTAGATGATGTGTGTTCATATTTTCAGTTAAAGTGGCACAATGTTTTTAAAAAAAGCCACAACATGAAGTTTGAGTTTTACGTTACGTTTATGTCACGTCTTCTTCTGTGAGTTTATTGGCTGGTTGCAAAGCAGAAATACAATTACTGTCTGACTCATGTAGACCCGGAGTTTCCCCATTATCTGATTACTCAAGTGCATGTAAACGCATTGATCGGATTACTGAAAAAATCGGATTTTCTGCAGTTATCAGATTATTAAGTACATGTAAACGCGCTCAATGTCTCAGGCATCAGACAGTGTATTCATAAACATTTTGAGTAATAACTTTCTGTGAAGGAGCATTTAGAGGCATCAACAGCTTTAAAAGACTTTGTTAACATCTTAACCATCGAATTCCCCTTTACAAGGTGTACAAGGAATTTCTCTTGGTGCAGGAGTCAACATAAAATGTAATCCAATAAAATCAACATCGAAAAAGATATACTGTGTATAAATGTAACATAGACAACAAACACAATACACAAACAATCTGCAAGATAAAGGAAGTGCAATGGGAGATACAGATACAACCAAATACTGAAATATGTACTGAGGTACATATATACAGTCTGATTTGAGCTGCAAAAATAAATATAAATGTAAATGTAAACATATATATTAAAAAAACAAACATATAGTGAAACAAGTTAATGTGCATTGACTACAGGAGGAAAGTGAGAGAGGCACTTGTTCAGAAGGATTATGGTATATACAGTAGTTATGTACAGTACAGTGTATGTAATACAGTGCATGTGCAGCAGTGTGCAGCAGATGTGAGGAGGCTCCTAGTTTAGGAGGATGATGTTTTGGGGAAAGAAGCTGTGGAGGTGGCGCTTAGTTTGAGTCTTAGGAGCTCTAACTTTCGTTCTCCACTGAAATGGAAACCGTTGGAAGAGAGAGTGACCGGGTATGTGAGGGGTCAGCCGTGATTTTTGCCCACCCTCTTCCTCATCCTAGATGAGTAAAGATCTTCGAGGGTGATTATTTTCTCTTTTGTCGATTGTCGTTTGTAGCTCTTCACAAGGAAATGGAGGCATTTTCTGGATCCAAGATGTTCGTCCTGATCTCGACGGTCATGACGTGGGCGCTGAGTAAGCCGCTTGATCCAGTAAGGACTGAACTGACCGTATTAACTTACTAAGCACACAGCTGTATTTACATGCAGAGACATTTATCCAAATTAACTAATTCCTGTCAAAGATTCTGAATAAAATATTTACATTTCCCTTAAACTTGGATGAAAATATCCATGATACATTTTGTCTCGTGTAAAACCCTGTATCCAAAAAAGTTGGGATGCTGTGCAAAATATAAATAAAAACAAAATGCAATGATGTGCAAATCATTTAAACACTATATTTAATTGTTAACGGCACAAAGACAACGTATCAAATGTTAAAACTGAGAAATTTTATTGTTTTTTGAAAAACATATGCCCATTTTGAATTTCATGAGATTTGTAGTTCTTGGGTGCCTCTCTGATGTAGTACCGACTGTCTCTGGTTCTACTCCGACCTGTATGCATCACCACAGCGCTGAAGAAACCACCAATAAAACACTAATAATCTCTTTAAGATTCCATAATGTAGTTATTTTAAAAACAGAAAAAACATAGTTATAGCAATAAAGGATGTTAATAACTACAGTTTTCATTATTGTCAAAAACTGAGATTTATATGAGACGCTGTCACGCTCTTAAATAGGTTTATAAGTGGTCACTACAGGGTGATTAAGTAGTGTAGTGGCTAATGCTGTGGCTTTGCAGACTGGCGACTGTGGTTCAAATCCATGCATAGACAGTAATGTTAGTGCTTTTGGCTGCCTTTGGAAAAGCTCTTAACACTATGTTTGGTTTAATCTGAAACAGGATTACCCTGTGTCTTGTAATAAAAGTAACTGCAACATACAATAAATTTAATTAAAGCTGTTCTATGTAAGATTTTTTGTTAAAATTGTTAAAAGAAGTATCATTACTGAATCAGGAAGGAAAAAAATACAGGCTAAAATGTGATGCAAGTCATCCTACAAAGCCTGAAATAGTAATTGAGGTCACACACACAGGCTCAGGAAGGTCCAGCTCGATGTTTAGGACTCAAATGCAAAACTCCTCATTATGCTGATGAAGATATGATGACAATAGTAGATAATTGACTTACATTCTCTTCAAATACTCTTTCAACACGCTCACAATTGTCAGATTCAGCCGCTCCTGGGGGTCTGAAACAAAACCCACGCTACAAAATGTTCTTCTGCAACTTAAATAGTGCAGCTTTAAGTTCAATTAGTGTCTAACAACCTTAGAGGATCCAGTGACATTTGGGTGAGGGTGGGGTCTGATCTGTTAGTCTGATTATTAAAGGATTAATAAGCTGTGTGTAAATCTTGCTACTGTAGCTTCTCTGTCAATCAGAAAACACATTACAGTCTTTACTGTGTACACTAAGCATGTTTTTATTTTAGGATGATCCAGAGATTCCTTTCACGGAGGAGGACTACAGGAGACGGAAAGCACATCCCAACTTTAACGATCATATCGCTTTGGAGAAGCTTGTGGTTAAACTGGGGAAAACTGTGAGCACTGCCTGCGTTTAGTGGGATGGGTGAATGGTTGTTCTCCTGGGCTGGGTTGCACTGGTTTTACACAGGTTTCTACTTTGTGTGTGAAGTCTTTACTAAGCCTTTACCACAAATCCTAGAAGAGAACGATGTGTACAAGTTAAACTGAATAAAACTAATTATCTATAGTCACCATCTGTTTATTCTGAGACAACCAAATATGCAATTTTTTTAAAATGATGGTTTCTGGCTGACCAACACAGCAGCAGCCTCAGTTTAGCCAGTAATGCAACTGCTGAGTCTCACTGAGCTGAGCTGTGTGTTTAGCTTCATGTTTGGATGATGATTAGAGCTGTAAGTAAAATCACAGTATGGTCCTTAGAATTTTCAGCTTAGTTACCAAAACGTCATGATTTTGGTCTTTGTGTGCTTTCTATGTGGTTTCTGATGGTTTCCTTAAAATGTACAGCTGCTTAGGGGGACATATAAAGGTTTAGTAACTACTAAGCTCAATGTTAAAGCTAGTTTGTGTGGTGCAACTCGTTTTGATTTAGTAATACATAAACCTGAACTTGGTAATATTTACGCCGCCACTAGCCTATGTTTGAACTTACGCACATCTGGTGCCACCGGCCACTGATGCTCTAATTCATATGCTTTCACACAATATACATTTTTTCCCAATCCAGTAGTCAGTAAGAACTGTTTCTAGTTTCTTTGTAGTTTGGTATTTACGGTATTTATCATGAATTTCAGAATCCGTCCCAGTTCTCTACATATGTTGTTGCCTCTGGACTGCAGTACGGAATGGAAGAGCAAGTGTTTCATTTCTTTTTCAAGGTAGCTTCTTCTTTCACACCTTATCAGTATGTAGATGATTGACTGTTTAATATGTAATGAAAAAAATAATTTCTTGTTTAATGTAGAATCTTTCATCCATAAAAATGCAGCCCAGATCACTTCACTGCAATAAAACAGTAAAATAAAAGAAACAGTAAATATATATGGTGTGTGAAAAAAAGAACTTTAAAAGAATATCTTGTCTGTGTAACAAAAGAAAGCAACTAGAAAGAGAAACAAAAATAAATAATTATAGTAAAATATCTCAGAATTTAACAGAACAATAGAAAAATACAGCTAATAATACACCAAACTACATATAAATGTTTGTAGCTGCTTTTAGAATATAAAAACATAATGTGTCTGATATGAATAAGTAAATATTTCCTGAAGGCTGCCTTATCAGTCTTTTTGTACTTCATATTTGGAATATTTAATAAACTAGCTCTTGTTACTGAATGCCTTTAATTGGTTATTGTACGTGTCTGTCTCTGTTCTCTGTAGACGTCCTGGCTGGGGGAGGTTCCGAGGGTGCCCGTGTTTGGAGAGGGTTCCAATATCATTCCTGCTATTCACATCAAGGATCTGGCCGGGTCGGTAGTGTTTGGAAGTTATTGATATATTCAAAGCCATTTTTAAAGCTGCACTATGTAAGATTTTTTTTTAACTAAAAGAAGCAGCATTGCTGAATCAGGAGATAAAAACAGGCTAAAATATGCAGCACAGCCTGAAATAATAATTTAAAAGTTATAAGTGTCATATTGGGAGTTTTTTGGACAACATCATACATCTTTACCTATAAACATCACATGCAAATGGCTCGATGTTTAGGTCTCAAATGCAAAATCAACCCTATACTGATGAACATGTGATGACAATAGTAGATAATTCACTCACATCCTTGGACGAAACATCCTTCACCAACCTTTGACTGAGTTCTCTTTGAATGCTCTTCCAACACACTCGCAATTATCAGGTTCATCCACTTGGGGAAGGAGTACAAAACACAACACGTTGAGGTTGCCAAATCCCCAAAACTTACACAGAAATTCTACAGAAATTCTAATCAGATCAAACTGTATAAATGAGAAATACAATATATTAAATTGTGTATAGAAATAAATACATATATGAGTACTGCATGCTCACAGGTCCTCTTGGGGGCTTGGGGGCACTAACTGATCGTTATTTGGCTTATAGCAAGAAACAGCCCTGAATCTTGTGGTGATGTGTTGGTGTTTTATGTGATTCACATGTATATTTACATAGGTTTTTGTCTGTTTCTCTAAAGTGTTGTCCAGAACATAATTGACCATAAGCCCAAACCTCAGTACTTTCTTGCTGTGGATGATTCAAAAAATACCATTGAGGACATCGTCCGGGTGGGTTTTCCTAATCAACATGTTAGAGATGTTTTTTTTCTTGCTTTTCTATCAGTGCTCTCAAGCCCTATTCTCTGTTTGTGCAATAGGCAGTAGCACTTTTTGGCCCAGGAAAAATCCAGAAATTTCCAAAGGAGGATGTTTATCTCACACAGGACTTGACAGTAAGTTTAATATCAATGTTATTCTGGAATATTAATTACAGTGCAAGTTGTACTACTTTGTGCCTTTTTGTGCATGTTAGAAGTTACTGTAGTTACTGGTCTGCACATGTTTTGATATCTATTAACAGGTATTAGCTTTTTGCTGACCGGCTTTCTAAGAATCTTTGTTTCTTTTTCAGCAAACAGACATTGATTCCTTATTTGTTGATCTTCGAATGGAGGCAGTTTTTCTGAAAGAGAATTTTAACATCCACTGGGTTTGTGAGAACGGCATTGTTGAAAACATTGAACGAGTCACCGAGGAATACAAGCTTACAAGAGGACTGCTGGTAGGTGAAGGTCAAACAGGTCAAACCTGCTAGTCTTTCACGTTAAACACGATCTACTATACCAGTCAAAAGTTTAGAAACACCTGATTGTATGTTAGAGACATTATGATCGAAAAGCTAAAACTGAAACTAAATTAAAACTAAACTAAAACTAGTAACGGTGGCACGGTGGGTAGCGCTGTTGCCTCACAGCAATAATGGCCTGGGTTCGATTCCCGGCCGGGCATCCAGGGTCGTTTCTGTGTGGAGTTTGCCTGTTCTCCCCGTGTCTGCGTGGGTTTCCTCCGGGTACTCCGGTTTCCTCCCACAGTCCAAAAACATGCAGTCAGGCTGATTGGACATGCTAAAATTGCCCCTAGGTGTGAGTGAGTGTGTGATTGTGTATGTCTGTCTGTCTGCCCTGCGATGGACTGGCGACCTGTCCAGGGTGTATCCTGCCTTCCGCCCAATGGCAGCTGGGATAGGCTCCAGCACCCCACCGCGACCCAGAAGGATAAGCGGTTTAGATGATGTATGTATGTATGTAAAACTAGTAACACACCTTTAAGACTAACTGGAACTAAAGTAAAAGCAAAACGAAAATAGAAAAAAATACTGCTGATGTGAATGATACGCTGTGAGTGATATGCTTCAAAGCATTGATGTGAATGATGAAATATACAGCAGCCAAAACTATTTCTTTGTAATAGGCATGTAATGGCATGAAAATGGTATTAGGATAATTATCTAAATTATCTATCCTTTTATAATAGTTTACATGTAATGTCAAGTAACAGACATGAAAGTGGATCCAAACGAAAGCTGACTTTATTACAGCCCGAGAGTAATACAAACAGTCCGAGGCAACCAAAACAAAGACGAAACTCAAAAATCAGAAAAAGCCAGTAGACAAGCAGAAGGTCAACGAACCTGAAAAAGAACGGTAAGTAATAAGGCTTCCAATTGCAGGGTATGATCTGGCATGACTTTGCAAAGACCCTAGCTGTAATACAAGCTATATATAGAGAGAGTAATGAGAAAACATGCTTTAGATGAGCAGCCAGCCATTAAAACTCAGGAGAGAGTGACCTCTGCAGGCGGTGAGGGGAATGTCCAGCCAAGAATGCGACAGAATAGTATTTTCAAGATGCTATACTGCAAAAAAAACAATAAAAGTTTTAAAAATGTGTTGAATGTCATAAAGATATGAGTGCCATTTTTTCAAAAGCAGCATGCATACACAGTATTTACTATAAAGCAGTATTTACTGTAATACTATATTATACTCTTGAAATTTGAGTATTTTCTCGCTGAGTTAAATATTACACAGCTCAAGTCACACAGACTTTGAACAAATTAAGCTTGTTGCAGATGTTTGAGTAAACTTTTTTTACTATATATGTTCCAGATATACAGTGAATCATTCACTCATTTCACCCTTAAAGCCCAATTCTTACTTAAGTAAGGTTAAGTTTAGTCTTCTTTCATGACTTTCGCTCATAAACACACAGTTTTGATGATGCAAGCGTACATACATTTGTAAGGCTAAGCATTTCTCCAAGTCTGGTCAGGTGTGAGTGTTCACCAGAAATCTCATGTAAAACGGCCACATGTTTGACTAAATAGGACTAACAGTGTTTCAAAGTGTCCATGATACATTTCAGTGCGTGTTTAATATCACAGCATATCGAATTGAGAATTCCGAGCACTTGTCTAGTCTGTGATTAAACGCTGGGTTGCAAAAGCTAAAAACTGTTCAACTTACTGAAAGCCAAGTGCATTTCACACCCCGCATTCAATTTACACCCCCTTAAACAGAGACACAGCTGAAGAAATAGCATACAGCATGTGTTACTGTATATTTTACTGGGCTCTTTAAACAATGTGTAGTAGTTGGTTTCATCTGCTGGCATTTCTCTTGAAGTTTCATTGGGTAATGAAGAGGCAGGTGACAGAAGACGGTAAAGTATCGCCCTCAAAAATCAGAGCGTAGCTGCATTTCTCGGCTGTATTTGAAAGATCTTTCAGATTGTAGAAAGCTGGTATTTCTGACTGAATTAATTCCATTAGAAACTATTTTTATGGTTTTGGTGTCTTCATTATTGTTGTAAACTGTGGAAAATATGAGAAAACAGACAAATTAAGTATTAAAAATGTTCTGTGAGCTGTGAGTAGGTATATTCAACCTTTGACTGGTAGTGCACGTGTGTAACAGTTACAGTGCTGCACTCTGAGACTCCGATTACACCTGTTCTCTTTATGCATCTTGAGTATCAGGATCATATCTGGATTAGGCTAAGCCACATAAAAGTTCATGTGTAAACGCACCCAAGACGCATTTAAAACAGATACAAATCTGATCACTCAAACCACTTCAGGGGGCGGACTGAGACGCATTTGAGCCACGTTATAGCAGCATAAACACATCCGTCTCTCCAAGACACATTCGGCAACCAAAACTCCTCCCAGTACTACCCAAACTCCTCCCTATGCAGTGCATTACTGGGCATGTGATCTGTGTCTCTGAGGAACATAATCATGCAAGACGCTCATGGTTGGGGACCAGATGAAATGAAATGCTTAATAGCAATAACAGACACTACTGTGCAAAGCAAACTGCAGACAAAGAGGCTGAATAGAAGTACAGTTGGTAACCGGTTGCCGCTTATTGAGTGGATTTGCATGTTCCGTCCCAGAGAGCAATCAGATTGCAGTCCGACTAACCAGAGACACATTTGACTACTAAGTGAAAATGCATGAGGCTAAAATCTTATCAGGATACAATCCAGATGCTAATCACATGAAGTGACCAGGTGTAAACAGGGTCTAACATCTGTTTTTTTCCTGTTTTTCCAGCCTGTCCGCATCTGTGTTCTGGGGCCTCCTGCTGTTGGCAAGAGCACTGTAGCTGAAAAGATATGCAAGCATTACAAACTGCACCATGTCAAACTCAAAGAGACCATCGCTGAGACCCTCGCTAACCTAGTATGCCACTATAATGCCACCTGTGACCTCATTTGACCTCACCCATTTAAACAAATTTAGCAAAAAAAAAAATTCTGTATGAATGTTTGATGGCTTTGTTGATTCAGTTTTTCGTGCCACAGGAGGCGTATGTCCGTGCAGATGAGGGCGATGATGAGAACGATGAATCATTAGCTGAAGCGCAGGAGTTTCTGGAGACCCTGAAAGAGAACATGGAGCAGAATGAAGGTAATAAAGAGATGTTTCCAGCGAATCCCGTATTCCTGCTCTCTTCATATAGATAGATATATTTTACACCTTAGGCAAATTAAAGGGAGACACTACAGGTGAATATGGTCATTTTTTTTTAAAAAACAATAGATCAATACATCTTCGCCAGCTGATTATTGACATTCATACAAGTATTTTTGAAATTGAAGTTTTCCAACAAGCTAAATTTAGTTATACCAGTGAGGTATAACTAAATCTAGCCTTATATATATATATATAACCATTTTACTTCAACCCACCCTGAATGACTAAGTTTACATCTCAACCACTGAATTATGAGAAGTTTGAAAAATTGGTGGAGTTCCCCTTTAACCAAGAGGCATTAAAATTGAGAGTGAGGTCATGTTAGTATTCACTCCCCACCACTCAGAAAGTAAGCGGGGTGTTTAGGACTACAGTAGGAGTGGAGTGAGGAGTGAACAAAAACAGTTCCAGGATTTTATTGACTGTATCCAGTGAAGATGGCAGATCATTTTATCTGTGTAGCACATGTGGAACCCCAAGGAGAACTCATGCAGGACCAGAGACACTGAAACAAACACAACATGCATTTCCCTTCTTGGGAGACTAGAGTGGAAAAAGCACTCTTTACTGGTCCACAAGGACGAAGCAGAATATAAACAACAATCAAAACAGTTCCAGCGTTGGCGTGCAGTCTAGTCTCTCTCTCCTTGCTAAGGAAAACAGTGGGTAATAAAAACACAACAGGGAAACAAGCTGATCATGATTGTTTGTTGATCCTGGCTGCAAGTAACTCATTAGGAATGACTGGGTGTGTTATATACACACTATATATTACATTTTGCTTGTATTTTATTTTTCCCCTGAGGTCCACTTATAGCATTTGTGTGATGTTATGTACTAAAAACAGTCATGATTTATTTTTACAAGGCCATTTTCCAACCTCTCTTAATCTCTTAGAATTGAACAGGCTGTTATACGTAAATGACCTCTGTTCTGATTGGCTGCCCTGTATCTCACTCATTCAAAAAAGCAGTCCAGGCTGAAACACTCCTTATAACTTCAGTATGTGTGGGCGGAGCTAAACAGCTGGCTGAATAGGTGAATATATGTACATGCAAAGGATTTTGTGACATCACAAAGACTAAAGTGGCTGTTTTTGCTTAGTTTCTACATATGGATTGTATGGACTGGACAGTGAATGGTACCAGTTGAAACAGTGTTTACACACTGTGCAGTAAATCTTAACCACTACTGTAATGACACTCACTGTGCACTTTAGGCTGTAAATACAGCTGCTATTCCTAGTTATGTTTATACTCATTGTGTTGTAACTCCCTCATACCACTCATACCACGCAATTTAGTACTTTAATTCCTACTCTCTCATACTGAAATCTTATGTCTGTTATTTATTATTTCCGCCTAATTTATGTCTGTTTTATTCATATTTTTATTTCTGGCTAGTATATGTAAGTTTATGTGCAATTATATGTCTTGCTCTATCTATCTATCTATCTATCTATCTATCTATCTATCTATCTATCTATCTATTTATCTATCTATCTATCTATCTGTCTGTCTGTCTGTCTGTCTGTCTGTCTGTCTGTCTGTCTAATTCATCCATCCATCCATCCATCCATCTCTCTATACTACATCAACCTCTGTTCTGTAAAAAAGCAATGGAGAGTTGGTTTTCCATGATATGGGCCCTTTAAAAGATCCAAGCTCCTGATTAAAGTTATGTACTGTCACTCTCAGAAGGTTTTAGGTAGTTGTTTTACAGATGTTCAAGATGGTTTTAAAACTAGAATCAAAACGACTGCAGACAACTTTACTAGATATGTGTCACTTCTCTATTCAGGCCGTTTGGATGACCAGTACATCATCCGCATCATGAAGGACAAACTGATGTCAAAGCCATGTAGAAATCAAGGCTTTGTTTTGGACGGCTTTCCAAAGACATATGAACAGGCTAAAGAGCTGTTTTCTGGTGAGGAAAAGAAGTCGTTCCTTTATTCATTCATTCATTCACTGATGTTAAATTCATTACAGTATTTTTAATAATGTGTATTATATTATGCAGTTGATGATGATGATGATGAAGTGGAAGACGTGAGGTCAAAAATCCCTCCACACAACAAAAAAATCATCCCAGGTCAGATGTTTTTGGAAAGTTTTGTTTATTGCTGATAGAAATGATTGGCGGAACTCAGGGACTTAGATAAATAATTGAAATGTCTTTTTGAAGTAAGGATTAGATAAACAGAAACAAAAACAAACACAGTAGATTTACTAAGAATTGTTTATCACTGCACTGCATGGCTGTTGATGGTGAAGTTGGGGAACTTGATCATCCTGACTGGTCCCTTTTTTTTTGTGTGTTTAGAGTTTGTCTTCTCTCTGGACGCCACTGATGCGTTCCTGAAGAAGCGCGTGTTGAACCTGCCCGAGAGCTTAGTGGAGGGGACGTCTTACTCCCAGGACAAGTTCCTGCATCGTCTGGTCAGCTTCAGAGAGAATAACTCAGAAGATGAAACTGTACTCAACTACTTTGATGAGCTTGAGATTCTCACTGAGCATATAGGTAGGACTGAATGACAAATGCCCAATGCTGCACACGCATATATACACAAATATACACCGATCTGGCATAACATTCTGACCACCTCCTTGTTTCTACGCTCATTGTCCATTTTATCAGCTCCACTTACTATATAGGTGCACTTTGTAGTTCTACAGTTACAGACTGTAGTCCATCTGTTTCTCTGCATACTTTGTTAGCCCCCTTTTACCCTGTTCTTCAGTGGTCAGGACCTCCATGGACCCTCACAGAGCAGGTACTATTTGGGCGGTGGATCATTCTCAGCACTGCAGTCACACTGATGCGGTGGTGGTGGGTGTGTTAGTGTGTGTTGTGCTGGTATGAATGGATCAGACACAGCAGTGCTGCTGGAGTTTTTAAACACTGTGTCCACTCACTGTCCACTCTATTAGACACTCCTACCTTGTCAGTCCACCTTGTAGATGTAAAGTCAGAGACGATAGCTCATCTGCTTCTTTCAAATATAGTCTTGTCAGGCTTGCTGCTGAATGCTGAGTGCTACTGATTTTTATTTAGCCTCTAAACAACAGAGCTATCATCTAAAAGACTAAACCTCCAACCATGCATGAATTTATGAGGTTTTTTTTTCCCCTTTTACGCAGTTAAATGGAAATTTCAACTCGTGCTGATACTCAAAATTAGTTGGAATGCACAACCCTAATTTATTCATATAGTGTAAATTTTAAAATGATTTTAATGCAGTGGTGAACTGTGCCAGTTAGAGTTAGGCCTACAGTTCGGGACATAAATGTTGAAACTCAGGCAACAATAAAGGAAAAACACCTCTACAGTTATGCTAATTTCTGCTGGCACCCCTATGAGATTCTAGTAGTATGTTAGCGCTAATCTAACCACAATTCTCAAGATTCTTGACCATTCTAGATTAAATCTGGACGCTTGAAGCTTGTAAAAGACATAATAGCATATATTTTACCATATAGCAGTTTCACAGTGACTTTTGCAGTAAAGAGTCCTGGCATATAGCTGATGTTGCTGTTTTCTACTGGTATTTACAGTCATTGATGTATCTAGAACTTCCAAAATGGTGGAAAAAAGTGTGATTTTTTTTTCTTACAGCATTGGCCCCACGCATTGGAGTGTGATTAGTCAGTTCCACTGTCCACTGTTAGTGGTTAATCTGACATGTTAGGCCTTCAGTCCAGCTCCTGAAGTCCTAACCAATGGAAGAACTCACTTGGCTTGATCTACATAGTGAGAACACAGAGAAAAAAAAAAATTGATTAGACAGTTTCTTGTCTTTCAAGAATTTAACTCTTTTTTTAACCAAAAATGTAACATTGAAATACAAGTATTACTACAACACCTACAGAGTGTACAATAAACATGATAACTTGAAGGCCTTGCGGGTTCCCCTCTGTTGTAATGACGTATTATTAGCATATTACTGGTAAGTATTCTAGTAATAGTACTATAATATAACTCTTTTTTTCACTCTAGAGATCACAAGTGATGATGACCTGGAGTATCTCCTGGTGATGGAAAAGGTCATTAAAAGTGTGGGATAAACCCAGAAACTATGGGCCGAGCTCAGAGGAGGTGGAGCAGGAGGAGCGGAGGCAGGCGGAGATCAGGCTCAGAGAGCAGGCAGCTCGGCAGGCTGAGATGGAGCGCAGGGAGGCTGAGGAGACCGCACAGAGAACACAGCGCTGGGAGGAATGGGTGAGCGCAGAGCTTTTTACGTAACAATGGGATATGATTAGAACAGTCGGGTTAACAGCAGGAATTAGTGTGGGGCGATGTCCACCTAACTGGCATATGATGATGTCTACAGGGAAACACTGCATGACAGTAAGTGCGTTTACATGCACTTAATAATCGAAAACTGCAGAAATTCAGATTTTGTCAGTAATCTGATCAACGCGTTTACCTGCACTTGAGTAATCAGATAATAGGGAAACTCCGGGTCTACATGAGTCAGGCAGTAATCAGATTTCTGCTTTGCAAATAGCCAATAAACTCGCAGAAGAAGACGTGATGTAAACGTAAAGTAAAACTCAAACTTCGTGCCGCTGCTTTTTTGTTTCTTAAACATCGAGTCACTTTACCTGAAAATATGAACATACATCATCTAGAAGATGGAGAATTTTTCAATTCTTCATTTTGTCAATCATGTATTTGGTTTCAACATCACTCGTTTTGCTGCGTCTCGTGGCAATACTGCTTGCTTATGTCCGATAACGTGGACTGTGTTCGCACATGCGCAGACTGAGAAATCTGAAAGAAATCAGAGTAAGAGTTTACATGCACTGAGAAATCTGATTACTGAGCTAAAATCCAGCTCTCTTTATCAGATTTCTTAATCAGATTTCCAGACCTTACTCTGATCTAAGAAATCGGAGTATGCTCTTTACATGACCACTTGAATAATCAGATAACTGCAGGAATCTGATTATGATCCGATATTGAGTGCATGTAAAGGCTCTCATTGATGGGGGGAGGGGGGGGAGGGGTAGGTGGTAGTGTTAGTCTTACAAAGGTGCTATAAATACTCATGATTCAGCGGCATCGATAGCGACGACATTTATCAGATCTCTGGGTAAGTAATGCGTTAGAAATATCGTTTTCTATGTTATAGCAGAGACACTGGGATTCTAGCAGGCAGAGCATGTGAGCGGCGCACAGTGGGAGCGGAGGGATGTCATTTTTGCTTGGAGCGCAGAGCAGCTTTTCACAAAGTCGGAGCGTCAGTGTTCTCGCTCGCTCCGAAATCGCTCCAGTATCACTTCGTCCCGCGACACAGACAGTCCTTTTTTTCCACACTGACTCCCTCTGTGTGACATGAGTTAGTCTAGTGTCGTCCACTTTGCTGTGAGAATGATAAAGAAGAGCATGTTAAAAGGACGTGCATTGTTTACCTTCAGCAGTTTTCCAGATTGGGCCGTCGCTTTCAGCCTATAACTTCTGAGCAAGGAACAGGGAAACAGAACCGCTTTGAGCGAGGACTGGAAATGTCTGCCGCTCCACTCCGCTCACATGGTCTGATAGCAGACAGAGTGCGCCCTGCTGTCAGTGAAGATGGGGAGGGGGGTGTGGCATCACCATGCTGGATCAACACTGTGATGTCTGTCAGCCTTTCGACGATGGGACGATGACATCGTCTATCGGCCCAACCCTACTGCTTACCCCAAATGAGGTCACTTAGCCAAGACGTGTTTGCTTTGTTAGATTGACCCTGGAGCTACCAGCAGCTAACAAGTAATAGAAGCTCATACCCCACCAATTAGCACTGTGCATAATGCAGCATCATCCCTTGCAAAAAAGAAGCATACTTTACATCAGCGTACATCAATAGTATACTTGAAGTATACAGAGAATACTAAAAGTATGTTTTAATTATATATATATATATATATATATATATATATATATATATATATATACATATATTAGTATATTTTAAATAACATTTTAATTACACTTCAATAAGCTGTAATCAATCAAATGTGTTCTGTACCGTACTGAAGCGTACTTTAAAAAAAAATATTACTTGTCATCATCTTATATCTTTTTTTTTAGGTACATTTTAAAGCAATAACTTTTAAAGTATGCTTTTACACACTTCAGTTACAATATAACTCAAACTAACTAGCAATCTGATGTAAGTACACTCAAGAATATACATTCAAAACATGTTTCATGTGTGGCGGAATTTATGTCTTAGCAATTGCTTCCCTTCATCGCAACATAAACTGTTCCAGTTTAGTGGAGAAAAGCACTTGTAGGCACAGGAGATGTATTTCCACACTATTTACATATAATTTAAGTGTATATAAGCTAAGTTTAGTTACTCCTAATAATCTGTTTGTGTGTACTGAGGTTTGTGCTTAATGATGCTTTTTATATTCTACTGCAGTATCACTAAAGGGACGGAAATGCTTTCCACAAATAAAACATGCATTTGACTACAATTTCAAGTCAATTCAATTGAAATATGCTTACGTTTCTAAAATGATACATTTAGCATGTGTTAAAGTATGTTTAACGTTTAAACATCAAAAAGTGTTTACTTTTCACATTGAAAATGTTTTGGTAAAGCACACATAACACAAGAGACCACATTTGTTTCAAACCAAGTCGGATTCTTAATCTAAATTTTTAATCTAAGGGTTTTCTGACACCACGAGACATCCTGTTATCCATAAAAATGGATTAAAACAACAGTAATATTGTAATAGTAAATGAAAACAATAGCAGCAGCCGTCAGGTCTGAATTTGATCTGTTTTGTCTGAACTACATTTGGGATAAAACTTTTTGCCAAAATACTGCTTTTTTCCATTGTACATCTCCGATTTAATGAGATGATCTTTAAAGTTTTTCTTCTAGTGATCGTTGGATTTTCTCTCATGCATGTATGCATGTTTTTCTCAGTCTCAGCGTCTGGATGAGGTGAAGAGGCAGGAGGATGAGCTGCTGGAGGATCATTCGGTTCCTCTGAGACATTACCTGATGAGGGACGTGATGCCCACCCTCACTCAGGGCCTGATCGAATGCTGCAGGATCCGCCCAGAAGATCCAGTGGACTTCCTCGTGAGTTTTTCTTCGTCCCTAACCTCGTTATCAGAGCAGTAGCATGTACAGTATTGAGGTAGAATGTATGATCTGTGTGGATTCAGCATGAAGGTGTTTCTTTCACCGAAATCTCACTCTCTTTTATGTTTCAGGCTGAATATTTGTTGAAAAACAATCCACAAGCGGAGTAAAACGCTGGCACCTCTGCATAAAAGATGAGTCTCAATACTGTTCATGTTCCTTTGAGATGTTTATTAAAGTCTTACAGCGGGATATAAAAGACGTTTTGTCAGTGACGGATAATAGATTTTAGTACTCCAGTCGGGTGTTCGTTTTATCCAGTGAGAACTGATTGTGAAGTTTCTCGTTTCTGACCTTGTTGTTTGTGTACCTGTGCATTTAAAAGCTTCGGAAACACAATAAAAGCCAGCTGCTAATTAAAAGTTCATTAATATAATGTACTTGGGAGTGCTTCGGAACTAGAAAAGTAGACATGTCATGGCATAATTGTTTTGATTTGCCCTGTGCTTTCAAAGGATAAATGTTACAAATGGCAGATAATTAAATGGCTCTATCATACTTTCATACACAACACGGAGTGCACATAATTAATTACGCTGGTAAACAAAATTATTCCATTTCTGCAACTACTGCAGTTCATTCAGTTCATTGTTTCAAGAAATGATTATTTTACAGCGCTGAATGTACTAATGACAGCTGAAGTATCTTTAGAACTCTGTTTCAGTCGCCACTTTAATGGACTCATTGTTTATGAGCCTATATGTTTTCAGTTGTCGTAATAGAAAAGCTGGCCTTCATCGTTTATTGCATAACGAGTCCTTGTGGGTAGAATATAGTGTGGAGTGGAGCAAAGAAATGTCAAGTAGGGTTCTTCAAGGATCTACAGCAAAACAAAAAGACCGTTGAGTCAGCCTTTAACCTTTCGCGCAGCCTTTCGCGCACTTATGTTGTTATTTGGATGAAAGCAGATCTGCGCTGTTTAGAAATTGTACACAATTTCACTACAGTTGGCTGTTTCTGTTTACAGTACTGTGAAAAAGACCACCTTTCATTGCATTTGATTTCCAGGCAAAATAGTCATTAAGAACGTTATTCATTTATCAGCATTAGGAAAAAAGCAGAGGCTACGTTTATAAAAGCTTTCTGAAGAAAATCTTGTGAAGGTTTTTAAGACAAACTAAGAAGTTCATAAAGTGTTCTTGAACGCAATTCTCAAAAAAAACTTAAGAAGTTCTCAAATATTCTCTTAAGTCAGGGGTCAACACATGCGGCTCTTTTACTGCCCTGTTGTGGCCCCACAGCAGAATTAGATTTGTAGGTAAAAATAAAATAATCCTCCTTTACAGTAAAATAAAGCTCTGCTGATCGTTCAACACAGTTTTAATAATAAATGGTCTTAAACGCTGGAGTTAATGTAGAACTGCTAATTCACCCTTTAACCCTGAAGGTTGGCGTGCAGACTGCTGGCCACACAACAATCTTGCCTCGCTAGTAATAGAATGGAATGGACTTATTTGCATTTATAATCACTCCAGCTGGTTTCCCAATACGTTTAATCTGCAACGGGAAACTGTCAAACACTAAAAAGTGGCGAAGCTGAAGTCAGTTTCTCATTCACTAGCTTCTTGTTCAAATTTTCACGTTCCACCTTAAATGATGCAACAGTTAGCTACATATTAAGCTACATTCTGGCACCTCAGGCACTTAGAGGTCTTAGAGGTTGGCTGTATTTTCTCACTATCCAAGTATTCCCAAACACATTCAGTAAAGTTGAGGAGTACAATAGTTTTTATCAGACATTTCTCGTATTACTTTGCACTAAATCCAATGAAACAGGACTAATTAAACTCTCTTTTTAATGGATGATGCAGTTTGTGTTTTTTAAAGGGCCCAAATCCAAATTTCCTGGATCTGTTTTTTTTTTCTCTGAGGTCAACTATGTGTGGTTTTATGTAAGAAAAAGTGATTTATTTTAAATAAGCATTTCTCAGCCTCTTCTTATCCCTCAGAAATAAACAAGCTGTTTGTTACTATGCCTTGAAGACTGTTATATGCAAATGTATTTACACCCTGTATTGTGCCTCATTCAAAAAGCATGTTAGGTGGTAACACTCCTTATACCTTCAGTGTGAGTGAGAGGAGGTAACCTTATGTAGGCTGAATAGACAGATATATGTGAGTACACTGCTTTCTGTGACAAAACTATTTCAAAACAGGCTGTTTTGCAGTTTGATTTCCATATATGGACTGTACAGGCTGGGGGGGGGTGGTACAGACATTTGAACAGTGTTTACATACAACAGTGTTTACATACAAGGTCAAACTCTTTTATCTTAAAAAATATATATATTTTCTGTGCTATGGGCCTTTTTAAAGTACTGACAACATCACAACATGCTCAGAAAAGCACTTTGTGGAGTGATGTAAGTCATGCTTACTCCTACTTAAGTCTTACAGATAAGACTTGAGTTTTCAGCCAAAGCCAGTGGCCACTCGCAGTTGTGACCTTCGTCAGAATGGAATGTCTAACACTAGATGGCAGTCTTACCAAAGCAATAGAGGGAAACCTGGGGCTTGTTGTAGTTTCCATTGACTCAAAGCAGAAAGCAGTACCTGCATAGTGTTGATGTACCTGGCCTGAAATATATCATTATGGATTAGTAGATTAATAACACTGATATATGTATGGTACTTATCCAAAAGTATCCGGACAGCCCTTCTAATGAGTGAATTCAGCTACTTTAAGGTCACATAGGTGTCCAATTGTGCACGCACAGCTTGGATAATGTCCAAAGAAAAGTACTGGCTTGTAGAATGGGACGCTGTGGAGCAGCTGCATGTAAGCCTATGGTCATCATGCCCAATGTTGAGCATGGACTAGAGGGGTATAAAGCCCCCCCAGCATTGGGCTGTGGAGCAGTGGAACTGCGTTCTTTGGAATGATGGAGCTCCATCGAATACATTTGGGATGAGCTGGAGTGATCCAGAACTGATTATCCAAAATCAGTACCTGACCTCACTAATGCTCTTGTGGCTGAATGCAATCAAATCCTCACAGCAATGTTGCAACATCTAATGTAATGCCTTCCCAGAAGAGCTGTTTACTGCAGCAAAGGAGGACAGACTCCTTATTAATACCCTTCACTTAGGGAATATTTTTTCCTCTGTAAATTGAGATACATGTTGTTGTTTTTTAGACAGTGATGATATATTGGTGTGTTTTGGTTCTACAGGTCAGTGTCACTCGGGCTAAAGATGTGAATGGACTCCACTGTGGTCAGTGCTGGTCAGTGTGCTTGTTTTCCCTATTTAGTCAGGCGTTTATGCCGGCTCTGCCCACAATCCTTCACTGGCTGTAGACAGTCAACAAAAACCCCACATGCATTTAGAGGAACAATGTGTTTTTGTTGCTTAGGAACAGTTTTCTCTCCGTCTCGGCAGGGGATCTCCTCCTGAATATCATTATGTCCCCTTCAATCGACAGAAAACACACATTTTCTTTGACTGCCAATATTTATCATCGGCTGCGCACTCTCTTGTGGCCTGAAAACGCTTTCATTGATCAGGGGGCAGAGACGGGCGCGGATGATGACTATCATTGTATCAGAATAATAGCTTATCTAAATAATGTTTCTCTTTTTATAAAGAAAGACATGCTTTAAAAAACAAAACTACAAGTTCTGAAAAGTAAACTTTCATGCTCTTTATGTTTTGTTTGGTGCAATCTGCTTTGATTCATGAAGAAATTTAGGACAATTTTTCATACAAATTCTCACAACGATTTGGCATTGCATGGTAAAAATAGCTTTCTTTAACAAGCCATAATAATAATGATAATAATAATAATAATGATAATAATAATAGTAATACTACTACTACTACTACTACTACTAATAATAATAATAAGTCTAATTAAAGGTTTAAACACTTTGCTGGAGTCTGGACTCCCTCTGTCCATATTTGCATTTGACTAGCTTTAAATATTCTCTCTATATAAGAGGAATAAGTGAACCGAACATCATCAACACAATTACTGACAAAAGTGAGAGTCTATCCCAGCGGTCACTGGCTGGAAGGCAGAAGACACCCTGGACAGGTCACCAGTCCATCACAGAAAGAGTTAACTGTGTTGGTGTACTGTACTACACTGTTAGAAATAAAGGTTCTGTACAGGTACATTTTTCATTCGTCGAGGTACAAACAATGTAAATGTTCCCTCAAAGGTACAACAGTGGCTTTAATGTCCAGTTGTGAACCTTAAATAAGTTTTTCCAGGTGAAAAGTTCGTATTTGTACCTTTACATAACCAAATGTTTTAAAACAGGTCAATAAAATAAAAGCCTGGAGACGAGACGGGGTGTGTGGAGTCAGTACAGCTTAGAACATATAATTTCAGTGGATTATGGTTCAGTTATGTTCCCTGACTAAAGGTACTGAAACGTACCCTTGAGGGAACCACCTCAGTGACAAGAGGGGCACTGCCCCAGTGACCGTTCCACTTTGTAGATACTTAATTTGCCCAACTAAATATCTACTAAATTGACCATTATTTTTTTTAACTCTGAATTTGGCTCGAATTCTTACCTTAACTTTAACCTCAACCCAAAACCTAAACCCAGCCCTTACCCTGGTCCAAATCCTAACCCCAACCCCACCACTGCTTAGAATCAACTGAGTTTCAACAGACAGATTGTAAACAATTTGAACACCTGTAGATAATCTATAGGGGACTATAGTGGACTATCTAAATAAAGTGGGACCTGGAATTTGCACTAGAAGACCAAAACTGGACATCTGAGATGTAGAGGGAGGTTTAATGGACTGATGAGTGTAAATTTGTAACTGGATTATTTGGATTTGTGAGAAGCAGAAAATATAACCAACTTCTAAGACTGAACTTTGGAGGTGTGTCTGCAGATTTCTTTGAGAAACTGACAGTGAGTCTCCTGAAAAGAATGAAAGTTGTAATAAAGGTACAGAGTGGGCAATACTTATTTTCTTATACTTAGTTCCTGAGGCTTCTGTGTGAATGTATGTTTAATCAATGCTTCCTGCTTTTTTCCTGACGCTGAGGAATGAATTTATACTTAATGCCTGTTTTGGCCGGAAACTAAATGAATGAAAAGGTAGTCAGTGACTTTTGCACAGCACTGTAATATTTGTATTCATGCAGAAAGGACAGGGCTGTTTGCTATAAGCCCCATGTGTCAAACACAAGGCCCGCATGCCTGATCTGGCACAATCCTCTCCGGCCTGCAGAAGTATTTTCATTTTCTATTATTATTAGCCTGTTTCACAGTGCGCTGCACTAC